GATTTGCGATGTTAAGCTATTTCTTAGCTGCCTAAAACGCAGCCATTCTACCTCTGAGCCTGATTTCCTAGCCTTTGCCCAGGCCTTGTTTCTCTCATATAGGAGACTAGACTGCTCAGCAGAAAACCAAGGATTGTCTCGTCCCTTCACTCTAAAAGTACGCAGGGGTGCATGTCTATCTATAATTTCCATAAAACCAAGATAAAAATAAGACCATGCAGTTTCTACATCAGGACACAGATCGATTTTACCCCAATCAAAATCAAACAGATCATGCACAAAACCCTGCTCCACAAAATGTTTTTTGTCTCTCTTACTGATAATGCGAGGTTTAACTTTTAGGACCTTAGTGTCCCTAATTGTGGCTACAACACAGTGATCACTCAGATCATTCGCAAATACTCCCACAGATGAGTATTTATGGGGAACATTAGTTAAAATTAGATCAATTAGGGAGGATTTATTTGGGGACTTAATGTTAAGGCGAGTAGGACTGTCAACAATCTGAGTAACATTCAAAGAGATACAAAGGTTTTTAAAATCCTCTGACACTGCAGTTAACCAGTCCCAGTTAAAATCACCAAGCAGTACTATTTCCTTGTAGTCTAGTTGAGATACAAGTTTTGCCAAAGAAGATAAAGAGTCCTTGACAGCTGAGGGGGGTCTGTAGCAGCCCACCACCATGACCTGTTGCCCCTTTGCTACTTCAATATTTAAAGCTAAAAATTCGAGTTGTTAACTAATAGATTTGGAAACCATCTTGGTTACACAAAACTTATTTTTCACATAAATGGCAACGCCACCACCTTTTTTAGTACGGTCGGTACGATATACACTATAACCATTTAAGTAGATGTCAGAGGCCAAAATAGATTTATCTAGCCATGTTTCTGATAAGACAATGACATCAGCATCAGTCGAGCTCCCCCAAATGCTGACAAAATCTAACTTAGGTAACAGACTGCGCAAATTTAAGTGAATGAATCCCAACCCAGATCTAGAATTAAAATCAGCAGGAGTAGCGATCTGACTACTACTGCTGCTGGGCGGTCCAGGGTTTAGTTGTACATTCCCTGATAGTAATAATAACAAAAAATCCAAGCACTTTTTCCTCTTAACCGATATACATACATTGTCATCTGCTTTAAAGTCACCAGTAAACTCTGCGAAAGTGAGATTAGAGCTCAAGAAGCAGTCCTGAAGAACCATCATAGCAGGCAAGTGAGCAAGACAAACATTTGTCGAACTGAATGTCTGTGACAAGGCAAGCAGTAATTGTCTGTGTAACACATCCGAACCTTTACAGGGGATGTCCACTGCGGGCGGTAGAACAGACCTGAATCCAGTCGACTTCTCAGGATAACGAGAGAACTTCTCATTGTCCAAAATAGCTAACAGGCATAGCAGAATCACGATATGGGCCATTTTCCCAGACCAGAACAGCATCCGGATAGGCGCGCAAGCAGACCCGAAACGTGGAGGCGCTCCGGTCTCTTCGCGATATCCCCGGTGCAGAACCTCCTCAGTACAGCAGGATAGGCGAAGCAGGCCCAGCTCGAGGCGTAGAGGCGATCCGGTCTCTCCGCGATATCCCCGTGGTAAAACGTCCTCGGCACCGTAGAGCACGACAGGTGGAGCAGGTGGATACAGGCCTCCGCTACAGCAGGTGTAAAGCAGGCCGCAGCCCGAACGCGAAGCCGCTCCATCTCTCCGCGACTTCCCGGGGAAAAAACCTCCACAGCAGCACAGAACAGGTGCACAGGTGCAGACTCCATTAAACACACCGTTTCTCTCTCCGTCAAACTCTCAATCTGAGATACCTGGTAAAGAATAGGTAAAGAAACAGAAGAAAACAAACCCTATTCTCCAATACTTACTTTGTGCAAAGGTCGGCAAATGACAAATTCCCTGTCTCACATTTTGTGAGTAGAGATGAACATTTGAAACATATTAATGTACAAACACTTCAATACCGTAGACATGCCTATGGGAGCGATTTGTGCTAAAGTGTCTTGCTCAAGGACACATCGGCATGTGAGCCAAAGTAACATCCGCAAAGGACTTTCTGTTTTCTTAATTGCTTACCTGGTAGAGAATAGGTAAAGAAACAGAAGAAAACAAACCCTATCCTCCAATACTTACTTTGTGCAAACGTCGGCACATGATAAATTCCCTTTCTCACATTTTGTGAATAGAGATGGTCACATCTCAAGAATGCAACATCCACCAATGATTTCTGTTTTCTTAATGAACTATCTGCCAGAGCATAGGTAAAGAAACAGAAGAAAACTCAAATATATATATATTACATTACAAACACTTCAATACCGTAGACATGACTACGGGAGCGATTTGTGCTATGGTGTCTTGCTCAAGGACACATCGGCATGTGACCCAAAGTCCAATGCGGATGTGACCCAAAGTCATATCCGCATAGGACTTTCTGTTTTCTTAATGGCTTACCTGGTAGAGAATAGGTAAAGAAACAGAAGAAAACAAACCCTATTCTCCAATACTTACTTTGTGCAAACGTCGGCACATGATACATTCCCTTTCCCACATTTTGTGAATAGAGATGGTCACATCTCAAGAATGCAACATCAGCCAATGATTTCTGTTTTCTGAATCAACCATCTGCCAGAGAACAGGTAAAGAAACAGAAGAGAACTCAAATATATATATCACATTGCTAAAGTGTCTTGCTCAAGGACACATCGGCATGTGACCCAAAGTCCTATGCAGATGTGACCCAAAGTAACATGCGTATAGGACTTTCTGTTTTCTTAATGGCTTACCTGGTAGAGAATAGGTAAAGAAACAGAAGAAAACAAACCCTATTCTCCAATACTTACTGAGTGCAAACGTCGGCACATGACAAATTCACTGTCTCACATTTTGTGAGTAGAGATGGTCACGTCTCAAGAAGGCAACATCCGCCAATGATTTCTGTTTTCTTAATGAACTATCTGCCAGAGAATAGGTAAAGAAACAGAATCAAACAAACCCTATTCTCCCACCCCCCTCAATTTGCAAACAGCAGTACACTTGAGGTCTCTACTGAAACTTACCGTCCTTTTTCCTCAATAAAAAAAAATGGTTGTTCTTCCAGTTGAACATTCAGAACATATTACATTACAAACACTTCAATACTGTAGACATGAATACTGGAGTGATTTGTGCTTAAGTGTCTTGCTCAAGGACACATCGGCATGTGACCCGAAGTCACATCCGTATAGGACTTTCTGTTTTCTTAATGGCTTACCTGGTAGAGAATAGGTAAAGAAACAGAAGAAAACAAACCCTATTCTCCAACTCCCCTCAATATGCAAACAGCAGTACACTTGAGGTCTCTACTGAAACTTACCGTACTTTTTCCTCAATAAAAAAAAAGTTGTTCTTCCAGTTGAACATTCGGAACATATTACATTACAAACACTTCAATACCGTAGACATGAATACTGGAGTGATTTGTGCTAAAGTCTCTCGCTCAAGGACACATCGATGTGACCCAAAGTCACATCCGCATAGGACTTTCTGCTTTCTTAATTACCCTGACGAGAATAGGTAAAGAAACAGAATCAAACACACCCTATTCTCCCACCCCCCTCAATGTGCAAACAGCAGTACACTTGATGTGTCTACTGAAACTTACCGTCCTTTTTCCGCAATAAAAAAAGGTTGTGGTTCTTCCAGTTGAACACTTGGAACATATTACAATACAAACACTTCAATACTGTAGACATGCCTACGGGAGCGATTTGTGCTAAAGTGTCTTGCTCAAGGACACATTGGCATGTGACCCAAAGTAACATGTGTATAGGACTTTCTGTTTTCTTAATGGCTTACCTGGTAGAGAATAGGTAAAGAAACAGAAGAAAACAAACCCTATTCTCCTATACTTACTTTGTGCAAACGTCGGCACATGTCAAATTCCCTGTCTCACATTTTGTGAGTAGAGATGGTCACGTCTCAAGAATGCAACATCCGCCAATGATTTCTGTTTTCTTAATGAACTATCTGCCAGAGAATATGTAAAGAAACGGGTAGAAATGGTCACGTCTCAAGAATAATTAAAAATCCTCATCTTACTTAAAAAAACTCTCAAAGGGATCACACTCCTACCCTCCTTGGCCTCCTCTGTCCAAATGAAGGGGAGACTGATCAGCCTGGAACTTATAGTCTGTCCCAACATTCCAGCATTCCAGAATGCCAAAACTCCAAAGCACATTCTAAATGACCATGGCCAACATTCTAAATTACCATTATGGGCAACCTTCTAAATGATATCCCTTTCTCCCTCTGATAAGGCTTCCTTCACATCTTCATCACATCATGGACCTCAATAAATAACATTAATTCGGAGCTAACCTTTTCAACACTCTATATTTCAACTCAAGCGGTCCACATATACAGTATGTATACAGTGGTTGAAGAAGTATTCATATTTAAAAAAAATACTATCCTGCATTCTGCATTACTGAAGTAAAAGTCCAAAAGTAACTGTATAAAAAATACTTATAGTACCAAGAGTGAAAGTACTCCTTATGCTATTACAGCTGGTAAAGGTAGAACTAATACAAAATATTGTACTGTTGATGGATATCCTAACCTATAATTATATACCATAGTCCTTTCAATAATTCATTTTTGTAAATAAAATAAATCTAACGGAGTAAAAAGTACAATATTTGCTTCTAAAATGTAGTGGAATAGTTAGTAGAATAAACTGAGAATACTCAGCTAAAGTACTGTGCTTGAGTAAATGTACGTTGTTACTAACCAACACTGGATATTACCGATACAAAATATTGCATATTAAAAACTACAGTCATTGCAGAGACTGTTTATAAAGTTGCTATTTGCGTTTTTGATTATAACTACATATTTGGTATGACTACAGATTAAGTCCTATGACACAAATCACACGACTCGCAAATAAACCCCACCTCTCGTGTCTGATTTGAGGACACTTTTCAAAGCAACACTGTGATTGGTTGAGAGGACGTCAGTTACTTTGGGTCCTTGTAGTTAGTTATTTAAGAACAAACGAAGGTTGTGAGAGTCGTGGGTTTTTGTTTTAGTTTAGTCTGACTCTATTTCTGATCTCTAACAGTGGAAACAATGCGTTTATACATCGCAGCTGTTCTTTTGTGGGCTGTAATAGGTAAGAGACAATATTTACATTGTGTTTTCAGTTAGCTGTATGCTATTATAGCAGCTAGCATAGCAGTCAGTGTTATTACAGCGTGATAGATGTCATGAAGGTTTTTGTTCAGATTACTTAAGGAATACTTTCAGGAATACGTCTTTCCCAGCAGTGGTACATACTCGCAGTTCATACATTTAAAGGCTAGAGGTGTTGTGCAATATGTTAGCTAATATTAGTATTACTACCGCCTGCTACTTCTTAGCATTACATGTCATGTAACTGACAACAAACATGAATTATATTTATTTTGTAAATATATTTATGTTATTTACCACTGCAATCTACCCGCTACCACACAGTATTCTACAATGTTTCCCTGTATGTGTACTATTTATTTTAAATACTATGTGCATGGCTTTTTATCTAACAGTTTGTTATTTTTTTAAGTTCGTCTCTATCTATACTGCTGTCACAATGTAATGATCTCCTCTGTGGGACGAATAAAGGCATTCTGATTCAATTAATGCCAAACTTCAGGCAGAAATATGTAAATGTAGACTTAACTTGCTTATAAAGGCAGCCTGATGCATCGTACAATATTGCTTATGATACTATATAAGTATAACCCAGGGGTGCCCAACCTTTTTTGAACCGAGAGCTACTTTTAAAGTTGCCAGTCTGCCGAGATCTACCAGTCCAAATAGAGAGGCGTAGTTACTGACAGCCGACTACCAGGTAAATACACACGTCTACTTGTATAAAACTGACCTTTGTACGATGAATACTTCATAAAATACTGCAGATCCTTTATCTTACCTCTTTCTAATCTACACGCATACAAGTATTTAACTGAAGTTACACAACAGTGTTGTTGATACAGAGTTGGAGTTTATTCACACGTCACACTACAGTGGGTAAAGAAAAGACTCTGAACCCTTTCTTTGCCATTATATAAAAATAGTGTTGCTACAAAAGTATAAATTAGGCTTACTAATAAGACAACTCAGATCTGAAGCTACACAGGAATCTGCTGCCACAGTGCAATAAAAAAGACACAATTAATAGAATCAAACCCTTTTTTTGTTGCATTTTAGTAGAGTATAAAAAGAAATGCCTTTAAAATAGGATGCAAGCAACACTAGTTTCTTAACCTGAATTGATAATAGACTATAATCAATTGAAGTTTGCATTATTATACCATTTTGTACAATAATTATAATGAATAAGTTCAAACAAACTAAAACTTACAGCTGATTAATAGCGGTATCTAACTTGAGTTTTTATTATATCAAAAACCTGTTGAAATGCTACTGTTATTTTTACTGTCCCCAAAAAAGCGCGTCGGCAGCCTCCAGGATAGCTTCTTTCACAACTTTGCCGTCTTTGAAAGACTTCATGACACGATAAGATGCTCTGGTAGCAGCCTTGCTCTTGTTGTTGGGCCTGGTGAAAATGGACTGCTGTGCATTTAGCTGTCCTTTCAGGCCCCTCCCATTTTGGGAGCGTAGGGCAGAATTAGGAGGGAATTCCGTCTCGTAGCGTTTGTGCACTGTTTTGAAATGCCGCTCCTAAATTACCATTCTTCGATAAAGCCACGCTCGTATTGCAGATGAGACAGATGGACTTTGAATTGGAATAGATACAGAAATAATCATCCTCCCACTCGGAGTGAAAATTATATATTTTGGGATTTTTTGCTTCTGCCATAATTGCGGTCTTGTGTGTGTGTGGACTGTCACTCCTGTTGTTGAGTGTTGACACAGACAATGTCAGCGAAATAGTGCCCACTGCCCTGCCCACCAGCCACGCCCCGACACATGGGGTCACGCCGGCCAATCACAAAGCTTTGATGCGTTCATGTGCATTATTCTGCCACAGGAAGATTATGTTACAGGACATTAACGATAAAACAGAATATTATTGTTCTATTTTTAGACACATCTCGCGATCGTCTGGGAATCTCCCCGCGATCGACCGGTCGATCGCGATCGACTGGTTGGGCACCCCTGGTATAACCTATTCTTTGATTCGGTATATGTAACACGCAATGCTACATTTTAATGACTGAACTTTACTACATGTGTAATAAGTAATTGTGTTATATTGTTATTCCTTCCCTTTGCTAAATGCAATATGAGGGATTGTGGGCAAGTCTGGGAGCTATTAGATTTTTACAAATATGTTTTACTTGAAGAATGGCTTAATAATGTACAATAATTTAATCAGCACTGCTCCCAGTTTACCCATAATGTCGATTTTATACATACGAATACGACTAAACTGCACATACAAAAACTCCTAATTAATTTCTTTATTCATCCGTAACATCAATATGATATGCTTTTTGATAAGTGTAGAGGAAACTTCTGTGTAGCTATGCAGTGGGAGTCACCGACTCAGGAAGGAGACACGGGAAGAGCAGTAGCTTTGATGTCAAACACATGATGGTTTATTTGGAGTTAACGGCCGGAGGATTCACATCACAAGTCCAAGAGTCAGAGGTTCTGACTTCACGGTAGAGTTGCCACGTCAATTCTGAAGAACTCTACCCCAGACCCATGTATTTAGCTAGTTCAGAGAGCATCATCAACATGCTGCATAACAAGATAGAATGATAACACCTCTATCAGCTGACGCCAACAGGCAGGAACAGGGAGACAAAACACTGAGAGCACAGCAGCCAAGGTTACAGGTGCCTGTGCTCAGTCAGGACAGTTTGAACTGATACACTGGGTCAAAGTTATGGGCCTTGGAAAATATTTCCACAACAATAAGTACATAGCATGCGTGCAATAGTTTTAATTCTATATTCAGACTGTCTACAATATTTAGTTTAGTTTTTATCTGGGCACTTGTGCACTAACTTTGTCTTTTTGCTGCTGAAACACTGCACATTTCCCCACATTCTGGGACTAATAACGCATTCTCTTATGTTAATTGTTCAATTTCCCTACAAAATGACTGACAAAAGACATCCGTTCATTGTCTGCTATGGCCGTAACTTTGGAAGAAAATAGAGATTTGACTGAATTACCACATCTCTTGTAGATATTTGCTGTGACCCTTTGTAATTGATAAGGACACATGTTATTACATATCACATGCATTCTGTTATGAGTATTACATAAATAACACTTGTTATGCTTGTTTTCAGCTTCAGAGGGAAAAGCAGTCCCCTCTCTTCCAAATTTTGGGAGCAGCTATCATGTCAAAGGTAAGCAGTACCTGCACATTACACATTTGGGCCTTTTCCTTATAATGTTGTTTTATTACACGATAACATGTTTGACCTTTCCATTGCAGGGGTGATCTCTCTGCCCTATGCTGAGATCAAGGAGCCTTTTGAGGCCTGGTTTGATCTAGTGGCAAAGTCCAGTCGAATAGACTACTACCATGGTAAGAAACCACATGACTGTTCCTCTTAAAGCTGACTCTGGGTTTTTCCTGCTTGGCTGAATTATTGATGTGAAACTGAAGACCTCTTGTGTCAGACCTTTGTGAGCAGAGCAGAACATAAGCACATAAACAAAGAAGTGAAAAAGAAAGAATAATCACTTCTGGAGAAGTTTCACTGTTACCTCGTGTTACAGCTCATGTGACTTTGAGCCTGTTACTTTCTGTCTTGTTTGAGATTATGTTATAGGATTCTTCTTTTGTATCCTTACCATCTTCAGGAAGTAAAATGTCGGATTGAACTTTTCTCCGTTACGGTTAGTGTTATGACCTGGCTCAAAAGGCCACAACAAAGAGGAGACACACCATATCAACGGTTTAACAAAATGTGTTTATTAAAGCAAGTAGTCTAAATTAGCCAAATTTAATTAAGTGCAAAACCAAATGAAGCATGAGGTGTGGATGTCAGTGGTATAGTGTAAGTGCAGGGTGAGAATTGCATGGACATGTATGAGTGTGAGTGTTGAAGTGCACAAAGTGAAGCAACTGAACATACTCAACCAAAACCGGGTGCCTGTAGGAGAAAACAGAGAGAGGAAACAGAGAGGCTTTAAATACCTGCAGGGCACCAGACCCAGGTGCCCTGAGTTACTGCAATCAATGCAACTGGATGCAGCACAGCCACACCCTCTCCAGATGACCCCACAGGGGCATCACAGTTAGTAAGTGGCAGTTACCAATTTGTATTTAAGTATCCCAAATCATACATTTGCGTCATGGGGTTGCACAATCTGTACATAGGGTGAAAAGAACATTAGTTATATGAGAGTTTTGGTCATTAAAAGAAATGGAAAAGCCTAATTATCAGGCTCATATGAGTATTTAGTGTCTCTACTGGGACATGTCTCCATGCTTTAATGTTCAAAAAGCTCTTTATTGTTCTCATACTGCCTGTGCTGCAGCAGCTCTTTTCACCCTCTGTCTGAAACCAGAGCCCAGTCTGATTTGATTGGTTAGTTGGCTGGCTCTGTTTTGATTGGTCAACCGCTGAGAGATGTCCCACCCTATCATAAAGCATATCAATAGAAGCACTAGTGTAATATAGTGATGTCATTATGTTACTGAAGTAAACAAAAGGTGTCTCACATTGTTTGTCAACAGGCCAGGTGTCAACCTACCAGCTGGGTGCAGAGCTGCAGTGGGGCGTTGCTTATAAAATCTCTCCAGAGACCACAGAGACGGAGCAGAACGTGATGAAGTGTTTCCAGACCAACGGAACGGCCGATGAAGCCGTCACCACGCAGGCGTCTCTGCCCGATGTGCAGGGCTTCCAGGTCTGTGAGTGTAAAGACGCTCGGTGCAGTATCTCAGCACCAAAACAAAGTTGTGTAATCTCAATCTTTATTAATTTATATAGCTCATTTAAAAACAACCTCATTATTAAATAACACAATGGGAATAAAATAATAAAACTATGATTAAAAAACACAGTAACTAGAAACACATACAAATGTTATGTTCAACTAGTGTTAAAAGCAAGTGCAAAGAGGTGCGTTTTTAGCTGAGATTTAAAAACAAATGTTGATATCAGTTTTATTAACTCTAACAAACTTGAAAACTGTTATTTGTTGCTATGATAATGAACCAAAGCATTTCCTAGATTATTTTACAGCATGGAAAAATAATCCCTAAAATAAGAACTTCTACAAAAAGTACTATTTACTTCCTACGGAGCCCCCTAGGGGACATGGAGAAGAAAAAACAATTATTTGAACAAAAAAAAAAGGAAAAAGTTTTGCGAGATCTCGCAAAACCCCGTTGCAGTTTGTAGACGGTCCCTAAGCACTCCTCTCCTTCCTCCAGCTGCAGATTGTGACCAATTCTTGATGTTTAGCTCGGATGACGGCGCGTATCGAACTGTTCTGATGAAAACGACTCTGTAGCTCGTTGTCTACCTTGCTATGATTGTAAAGTCATGTTGTTATGTTCATGAGTTATTGATCCGCGAAATTCGAATCTGTCAATAACTCAGCTCAGAAGAACGTTTATGTCCCCTCGCTCTGAGTGTTCTCTTGAGGTGTCTTTCACTTATGTGAAACCTCTGCCTATTGCCAAGCACTGATGTTATATCTTTATATTTAAGGCCAAGCTCAAAGTAAAATCGATGAACCGCTCCATTGTTGTGGTTTCTGTGTTGCCGTAGCAGCCGAACTGACCAGGGGGGTATACTACGAAGCAGGATTTTCGCTTAGCCGGCTAAATTCAGGGGAAACTAGGGCTTTCCGGTCCTACGAAGCTGGTTCTCTTTTTAGCAGGCTAGATCTCCATGGTAACTTATGCTTAGCGGCTAACCTGGTCGGGACCAGGTTAGGTTGCAGGCTAAGAGATCAACTCAGTGAAAGCACGCCTGCTGACCAATCAGAGCTCAGTGTGCGGAGTTTAAAGCGATCAAGTCATATTACAGGAGAAAGGAAATACAGAAAAACTGCCATTGCAGGAAAGACGGCCGGCAAAATCACCGACTGTGTGAAACGTGAACATTAATAGAATATCACCTCCCATCTTCAGAGCAATCTGACTATTATAACATTAGCGTTAAGAAAGCTTACTTAAATATCTGCCACAACATAAGTACACTGAGTGCAGACGATGTGTCCCCATTATCATTCATATCACATCATATCACATCATAATGTATCATATATCTCCTTATCTGAGTCAGCTTCTTGAGCCGTATCTGGCCGTGCAACACTCACAGTGTCACATACTGTATGCAGAAGTATTATTTTAAGCAACACATTAAGTTGACGAAAACACTCGAGACAAATGTAATTAAAGTCAGATCGTGTCTTAGACGGGGCAGTGATATCATAAACCTGTTAATGTACGCATTCAAACACTTGTTCTGTTACCAGCTGTATTCACCTTGCAGGTGCACCTATGTGGCTTTTATCCTGGATAAAGTGTTTAAGTCATGGATGTTTAAAGTTTAACTTCTTCATTTTTGACTAGTATTACAGTTCACTTTTCATTCAGGAAGTATGACGCTGCGCTGTCAGTACGCTTCTCCATGTTTGTGATTGGTCGAATGCTCCAAATACCACCCCTTTCATGTGAACGCGCACCTAACTAGATAGGACACGGCTGGCTTGAGCGATCCACTTGATAACCAGCGTCGTAGTACAGTTTAGCGAGAGCGCGTATGTTTTGGATTAGGCCAACCGGCTAACTCAAACATATCCAGGTTAGGTTGAACCAACTTCGTAGTATAGGCCCCAGGAAGTACATTGAAAGGTTGATGAAATGAAAGGTTGAAATGAAATGAAAGGTTTTGCGATATCTCGCAAAAGTATTGCGAGATATCGCAAAACATTTATTTATTTTTTGAAATAATTTTGTTTTTCTTCTCCATGTCCCCTAGGGGGCTCCGTAACTTCCCCCCTCACGGTGTATTCTGTGACCTATACTATTAAAATGTAACTTCAGACTGAACCTGAGCGGGTGTTGGCAACTCTGCACTTATTTACACTTAAAGGATTTATTTGCAGACCTCCAAGAGAGGACAGTGTGTGCAAATAAATAGCACTCATGAATATCTTGTGAGATTTAGGTTAGGGGCTCGGGTAAAACTGGGCTACATACATCAAAACATCATAGTTAGCATCATCCTCTTTACAACAGGATACAAATGCATGTATTGATTTAATTTTAACTGTAGGTTTACATTTAATCCAACCCTGATTTCCAGATGCAGAAATATTCAATTATGTGTGTTTACCATTCACAATGTTGATAATATTAATAATAAAGCTTTATTTTTATAGCACTTTTCATACAGTATGTGCATCTCCAAGTACTGTAACAACGCGGCACATATTTAAATCAGATAACAAGAAATTCAGGTCAAACGTTTAACCTTTTTACACACAGGCAGCAAAACAAACATCGTTTAAAAATTCAATGAACATAAGGAGGTAAAAAGGTATAATAATAAAAGAGTACAATAAAATAAATAATGATCCAAATGTTCACAATTCTCTCAGTACAACAAAGGAAGACATAAGATAACATGAATAAATACATTAAAAACTATAAATAAATGAATATTACAAATTATAATAATGATTTAAAGGCCAATTAAAAGGAGGATGTCCTTGATAAAAACCTAATCCAGAACAATATGTCTTCAAGATGTCGTTTTAAAAAGGTCCACTGAGTTTGCCTCTCTGATATTGATGCCCCCTCCTCCCCCATAGTTCCTGAGGATGGATTACTTTGGAGGGTCCCTGTGTGAAGTGTGGCAGAATGTGACCACTGTGGGTCATAAGAAGAACACCTACACACTGTGGGTGACACACTCAGAGCGGGGGGGCAAACAGCAAGGAGGGCCCAGCCACCCCGCTGCATTACGAGATGATGGGATACAACACGCTGCTGGGCTCACATTACGACAAATACCTGGTGGACTACAAAGAGTTCAGCCTTCATGTGGACCCCAAAGCCTTCTCCCTGCCTGAAGGTGTGTGCTCTGCTGCAGGTCCAAACATCCAGAATTGTTTTTAAAAAGGACCTATTATGCAAAATCCACTTTTTCAAGTATTTTCTACATCAACATGTGTCCCCTCTGTGTAAAGAGATTCAGAAAGTTTCAGGAAAAAATATTCGCTCACTTTTTGCCCTGATCCAGTTCTATAAAAACCTGTCTGAAAATGAGCTGATCAGATTTTGGCCACTTTATGATGTCATAACGATGTTTTGGCAAATCAAGTTTTATTTATATAGCACATTTATAAACGATTTTTGGTCGAGCCAAAGTGCTGTACATATAATAAAAATAGCCTACAGTAGAGACACTTTACAGCAAATACAACAGCACAGATTGTTCAGAATATCAGTATGAGAAAACGACACCCTCTGTCCTTAGACCCTCACATCGTACAAGGAAAAACTTCCAGAGAAAACCCACAGTTTAAGGGAAAAAATGGGAGAAACCTCAGGGAGAGCGACAGAGGAGGGATCCCTCTCCCAGGACGGACAGACGTGCTTGTGTAACCATTAGCCAATCACCAACCAAGGTAACCCCCTTCCCACCTTATCACTTGCATCTCCTCCTAGAGCACCATTGTGTTCTTTTTAACCAAATCTCTCTCAACTCAGAGGGGCGTGGGGAGGGGCTCCTGATTTTCATCTAAAGTAACAGACAGAGAATCAGCACTTTAGAAACAGGGCTGAAACAGAGGGGATTATGGGATGCTGCAATGATCTGTTTGGTGTTTGGAGCCAAACACTTCAGAGACATGTTTTGTATATATCTGAGATCTATTATATATTGATGTATAATCGGGGAACTTTAAAGTTTAAAAGGGTTAAAACACACTTTATTTCCCCCCCTACAGGGATGAGCTGTGGGGGATTTCCTGGTCCAGGCGTGGAGCACCACATGTTGGCCAATCCAATGAAAGATCTCATCCACACCTCAGCTTCCGGCCAATCAGAGCACATGTTCAACCATTTCAAGGACAAGTTTCAGCGTCAGTACAGCGATGAGAGAGAGCATGAGAAAAGAGAGCACGCTTTTGTTCATAACCTCAGGTGAGAATAACATTCAATACTTTTTTTCTTTTACGTTGTTGCAAAAGTCTCTTTTTATTTGAAATGTCACAACAACAAAACTATTTTGGAATCTAACAAACATTGTAGACTAGTCAAAATGAATATGTTTTCTCACTGCAGGGCATTTTGTTGTGTAAGAAACTATTTTAATTGTATTATAGAACATAAAACACTACAATCCTATAAACAATGATAAAAGTGTAGCACACAGAGCGCAGACATTGAGATTTAATTAATTGGAAAAAAAGTACGATGAAAAATGAAAATAAGAAGCCGATTTCACCACACAATAATCAGAATCAGAAACAGGTTTATCGCCAGGTAGGTTCGCACATACTAGGAATTTGACTTGATGTCATGGTGCATATATAAAATATAAAAAACAAGAAATCTAATACAAGGTACGAATAACAGTAAACAGGGGGGGGGAGGGTTAAGTAGAGCTTTCTATTAAAACAATATGAACTTTCTTAATGAAAACAGGCTAGCTTAATAGCAGTCCGTCATGGATAAAGCACTAGTTCAAACTGCAGGGTTTCTGATGACTGTCTTCTTGTTTCTGTAGGTATGTCCACTCAACAAACCGTGCAGGGCTTCCCTTCTCTCTGGCTCTGAACTCTCTGTCGGATCGCACCATGTCGGAGCTGGCCACCATGAGGGGGAGGAAACGAGCAAAGACCCCGAACAGAGGGCTCCCCTTCCCCTCAAATCTTTACCAAGAGGTGAACTTACCCGGGTCACTTGACTGGAGGCTTTACGGTACGTACAGATATATTATTGTTTTACCAAAGACGGTTCTTTCTTCCTGGAGTTCCTAGTGTTAACCTCCACTCTGTGCAGGTGCTGTGACCCCGGTGAAGGACCAGGCCATCTGCGGATCCTGCTGGAGCTTTGCCACCACTGGAACAGTAGAGGGCGCTCTCTTCCTGAAGGTAAAGGATTAGAAACCAGCAGCTCTCGCACTGGCCACTCTCCAGTGTTTCCACACTCCCTTATGCTGTTTGAAGCCACAGATGATCAGCATGGCGCTTCATCTGCTCATGTTTTGGTTGATTTTCATCGCAGTTATGTTTGGTGTTAATATATCTTTGGCATTTTTCTAAATATTGAAAATGTGCAAAAATATCACTTTAATAGTGCTTGTGGCGGTATGAAGGGAATTTGGTTATTTAGGCAGGATAAATACAGCACATTTCATAGAAACAAAGAGTAAAATATGATGGCTGATTTTGGGTTGAAGTAAGGTTCTTTTTTCTGACAATTTTCCAAAGATAACACGACAGCAGCACACGAAAGGAAATGATCAGAATCAGAAATCCCTTATTTGTCCGGAGCAGGGAAATGTACATTTACAGCAAATGTACAGTGCAGGTATAAGGCGAAATAGAGTAAGTAAGCCTATCGTAAATTATACAAGACCTAATTATGCTATTCCATTTTAAACTCCTAAAATGGCCAGTCTAAAACATATAGTAAAATATAATGTTGTGTGAACTTGGACTGACCATTTGAGTCTGTTTTCAGTCACCAAAGTGTAACGATTCGGTCTTTGATGCCCTAATTTGAGTTGCGGCCCCCCTGTTGTGTCCTTTAAGCCCCTCTGTGAGTGTAAACAAGTCGCTCCCTTCAGAGAAGGAGGTGGGGGGGGGGGCTGTCGGTAAGAAGAGTAATTGTTCCACACTGACGTTAGACAGATGTGACAATGTACTGGCTCCAGCCTGCCTCCAGCCCATGCATGGCAAAGCTCAAAGGCATTCCTTTTCTGTTGTTGCCATGCAACTAGATCCAATCATTGGACGCTGTTTTATCGGATGTGAAGGCACCCCATCTAAATGACCAAATTCTTGAACTCTTTTACCAAAACACTCCTGATTTCGTCCCTTGCCTTGGCCAGTAGCTGTAAGGGATTGAGTAGTGTTGACTGCAGGGAAAAGATGGAAGGAGGTTGGTTATTATAAAATATTCAGTTTTGTTCTGATGCAAAGCATCATTAAAATAGTTTTCTTTTAGTTTTCTTTTTTCTTTTTATAGTCACTTTAAAATGTCCAGCCGTTTTACGAAAATGACTAAAGATTTCTCACTTGAAATGGTAGCACAGAGAGAGAAGATACATGCAGTTCTCTATTAAAGCATTTCTAGTGTTTTTCAGACACAGTTAGATGAGGTTAAGAGTAAGTTCTGTTGTGCAGCCCCTGCAGATCATCTTTATGCCTTTGCCAGCAGCGCAGCAGCAAGAAGTGACCTGCAGGCTCGTAAACAGAGCTGCTCTCCATCTTGGTAACCTCACAGCAGCTGGTGTAAAAAACATGTCTTGACCAGAATATTTTCCGTCTCTGGCCAATTTTCTTTTAACAATGACGGAAAAATCTGAAAGCAGTCCGTCATTTTGACAGATTAGAACAAACTCGTTTCCAAACCTAACTTTGCCGTACAAATCATTGAAATGTCTGGTAGTGCTTTACGCTGTGGCGCGCTCCCGCGAGGTGCAGTGGGCATGCATAACACCGGCTAACAGTTCACGAGCGTCACCCCCCGTTGACAGTTCACGAGCGTGCTCTTCCCCCCCGTCAGAGTTGTGTAAAGACCGACGGGTAATAATGGATTGTGACGTACATTTTACGATCCTGTCGGGCAGTGAAAAACTCTGGCGCAACATCTGGTCTTGACTGAACTTTATTTTCCCAAACTTTTTTGCCTCAGAAAAAAATATTCATGCTGAGGTTGCTCATCTGAGTGGGATCATGTTGTTCTGTCTTGTTGTTTCAGACGGGCTCTCTGCAGGTTCTGTCCCAGCAGATGCTGTTGGACTGTTCCTGGGGTTTCGGCAATAACGGCTGCGATGGAGGGGAGGAGTGGAGAGGATACGAGTGGATCATGAAACATGGAGGCATCACAACAACAGAAACCTACGGGGCCTACATGGGGATGGTGAGATGAATACAAAATATGCAGCCTGTAGCTGTTGTAGCAAGTCAACATTTAAAAGCAGGGTGTCCGCGGGGTCTTAAAAAGTATTAAAAGTTGATAAATCAATCAAATAAATCAGCGAAAATTAAGGCTATTAAAAAGTATTAAACGGCATTTTCCAAGGTATTAAGAAGGTCCACAGCAACGACAACATGAAACACCCTTTAATTTACTGAAACAACATGTCGGGAAACCCCCTCAAGGTGTTCCCATGCATAGCGTGCCATAAAATGCTGCTTCTTATTTTAAGTTTCGTTGCCTTGCTCCGCTCTGTGGGGGGGGGGTTATCTGCTGGTGGACTACCTGAGAGATATACAGCAGGAGAACATGCCGTCCACCGCGGAGAATAAACAGAAGGGCAACCATGACAACCATGCTCCGGGGTCTTCTTCGCTGCTTTTGGTGTATTTTGTGGCGGCAGCAGCGCCACTTACAGGCCTGGCATATGTACTATAGCGTTTCCAGCATTTCCAGCGGTCTAGTGTGAACGGACACGTTAATGAATCGAATGCGTGTGAACGGAAGACTTTTTTGCTTTTGCGTATGCGTTTTACTGTCGTGGGGCCGGGGTCTAAGCCAAACTATATCCGGTCACAGAGATCTGCTATTTTAAAGTAAGGTCAACACATATCGACCCTAAATATAGTCTATATTAAGAACGAGAAAAGTCTTAACATATATATCGTTTTTTGTAAACATATGACAAATGTGTGAGGGTGATGACGTCAGAGCATCGTCCTATGTGCCGGGCTTAGCCCCGGACAGCCCCAGCCCAATTTAACCCCTGGGTATTTGTAAGGGAGCTCCTATATGGCATTACCCCACTGAAGCTCACCAAAGTTTAATATATTTCATAGTTCAAAGTTTTGTCAATTGTTTTGTTTATTGGTCAAATACTGGTTTCTAATGGTTTCTGAGGAGTTTTACTGGAATGAAAGAGCACAGAGTACAGAAGCAACAAAGCAGCATACTGCATTAAACCTGACCTTCACGTAAGGTCACGTTACGGTTAGGATAAGTCTCCAGGAAATGCATGTAAGTCAATGTAATGTCCCCTGAGCTTCGCGTCGGGCTCTCTGATCAGCCTGTCGGGTGTTCTTTTCCCCATAATGACCGCGTCGCTGCACATTATCCCGCTTATTACATGGCCACATTCTCAACAAAGTAACGACATGAGTCCCAATATTAATTGAAATGCTTTTATTGATTTATAAAATGTTTTTAATGATTAAAAAACATAGTTTAACTAATTTAAAATGACATTCATCCGCTACGAAAAATAGTCCGTTGTTGATGTTTGAACAAAGGCTGTTGCAACGGCAGGAACTGCTTCGATAGCAACTAACTCTGTTCATGTTAGCATTTGAGCCTTACCTGTAATTAACATTGACCTGAACGTTTCCATTAATGGTACAATGTGACATGGTGAATGGGAAATCTTTAGGGATGTTCAGATCGACGTTTCTGTCCTCGATCCTCTCTCCTTGCGGGGGTTTCGCAGATGACACATCTGAAAGCACAATTCCCAACATGTAAAAAAACGGGAAACAATATTTCTACCGCTAATTTGTGTGTAAGGACAGACAACATGGAAAGGCACTGACCCGATGTGGTGGTATTTCCTGGGTTGGTGGACAGGATGTTGCTCCATTTCTCCCTTTCGGTTATTGTCGGAGCCCAGGCTGCCCTCGCACCTGTGCCCAGTCACAGACATGATCTCTTAAGATCCAAGACGAGCCTGAGAGAGCAGTTGTACAGCCGTGCTTCTCAGGCTATGGTTAGTGTAGCGCTTTGAAAGCTGGGCTGCCTGGCTTATTGTGGGTAGCATTTGCCCAAGGAAATTATGTCCCATGGGCTCACGTGAATACCACACTGATTCACCGTTGAGAAGCTGTTGGTCCTTTTTTAGTGGGTGAAGGTAGAAGGCTTTGGCGTCAGATGGGCACAGGGAAACATACTTTTTGAAGCTGGCAACGGGGCAATTTTGGTTGTCAGGCTCGGCGAAAATAAAACCTCTGTCATTCTCTTTATTTGTGTCTTTTGGATCTTTATGATTTTTGGTATCGGCGTTATGGGCAAGAGATATGTATTCGCATCCGTGATCATCAAGTTTCAAAATAAAAGAGCTTTGCATCAAATGCCGATTTCCCTCTCTGCCTCGTCTGGCAAGATGCAGTTGGACATCCATCCACACTTTCCGGACCAGTCCGCCGGCTGTGTCTACAGACAGCGCCTGTGAAGCCCTGAGCAGCCGCAAATCCGCAGCTGAGATAGGCGGGTGGTGCTGGCTGACATCTTTCCCGTTTTTGCGGAGCTTCTTTACAACAGATGTGAAAACATCGTTGCTTGCTTTAAACGTAGCGCAGTTCATGATGTCAAACCGTGGAAAGTGTCTTGATATCCATGCCCTAATGCTGAAGTAACTGGCAACTGAATATGTTTTGCCGTTTGAGGTCTGGACCGTTGCGTAAAAGGACCGCAGCTGCGTGTTGAGGGTTTCTGCTCCATAGCTGTCAAACTCCGTTGGTTCTTTTTTTTCAATCAACCAGTCTTTAAATAATTTCATCGCCCATAATGTGTTCCGTTTTGTATTCAATTCATGCCAGTCCTCTTCAATTTGGTCGATTTCTCTGTCATTCAAATCTCGGTGTCTTTTTGCCTCTCTTACTTCTCCGCTGTTTTCTTGTCCCTCTTGTCTTTTTCTTTTCTTCACTGGGGACTCATCAGCCACTAACCATTCCTCCAAATTACTGTGCTCTCCAAATATATTAAAATTAATGTTAAAATCCTCCATGTTGCTATCACACGACAGCGGAAAACTAAAGACAATCAGACAGTTTGCTTGCTTTTCAAACTGTTACATTTGAAAAACAGTTAGAGCGTCTCTTGTCTTGTCAGTTTGAAAAGCCAACGGTAGGAACTGCTAGCGTTTTTGAGGAGCTTTTTGATTACAGATTTGAAAACATCGCTCCTTGCTTTAAAAGTAGCACAATTCATTATGTCAAACCTTGGAAAGTATCTAGATATCCCCTAAGTTCATGTGGAGAGGAGGCTTCAGTAGTCTGTCTGCACTCTGTTTAGTTGTGCTATCTTACAATCAATATAGTAAATGTGAGGTAAAGTGTGTCGCCAATGTAACCGGTTAGAACTCGAAGTTGCGATGAGGTCTTAAAATGTATGGAAAGGGTCTTAAAAAAAGTCTTAAAAGGTATTAAATTTGACTTCAGGATTCCTGCATATACCCTGCAAGACTGCACCCAAGCCCAATTAAAAGTTTTCTATTTAAGGATTGCAGCCAACTGTGAAGGTGTTTCACTTCTGTTGACACAATAAAACACCTTAACACATGTGCTCTTCCATATGTAATATTCTATCTCAGATGGACTTTTGAAAGTTTCTCTCCTAGATTAATTTGGAGATAATTGCCAAAATAAATGAATGAAAAAGAACCCTTTGAGCTCATTCGACATTTAACCTGAGACAGGAAAGCTTAGTTGGACAGAGTGCTAAAGTTACCAGTTCCTATGAACCATGATTCCATCTGTCTGCACCCAATTGTGATAACAAAATGATATATATTAAGGTGGGGTAGGTAATTCACTGCAGAAACACTTTTTGTTAATAATAATAATAATAATAATAATGCATTACATTTTTTATTAGAGCGCTTTTACAGGTGCTCAAAGCGCTTTACAAGTACACATTACACATATTAGACATGTAAGAGTCATTACTGCGGATATTACCCACAGGAGCAAATGCGGGTTAAGTGCCCAAGGACACAACGGCCTGACGCAGTGGCGGCCGAGGCGGGATTCGAACTGGAGTTCACCAACGTCCCTTGATCTGATGACCAATGCTCTAACCACTGCGCCAAAACTGTTATATTCCATGGAATGCTCTTAACATCCCTATAGCAATAAATACATACAAATATTTAATCTGTGGAAGCTGTGGAAGTCGTGGCGCTGTAAAAAGCACGACCAATCATTTGAGCCGGCCCGGCTAAAATAACTTGATGGCCTACCTGCCTATCAGCCTTCCACCTGTGCACAAACTTATCTTGTGTCCTCATTGGTCATGTGCGCGTTCGTGTGTGTTGGAGGAGGGGCTCTGTAAGGAAGTCTGTTTTTTTTTTGTTTTTTTCGGCTGCGTAGTTTCAAATTCTAGCCCACTCGAGCTGGTTTCTCCATTCTTACCTACCCTACCTTTAAGAAGTACTCCTACCTGTGAGTATTGACAGATCCGTTACCCAGAGGTGTGGACCCGAGTCACATGACTTGGACTCGAGTCAGACTCGAGTCACAAATTTGATGACTTGAGACTCGACTTGACAAAATCACAAAACACTTGCGACTCGACTTGGACTTGAACACCAATGACTCGGGACTTGACTTGGACTCGAGCCTTCTGACTTGAGGTGACTTGATCATTTAATTCAGAGGTCTCCAACACTGCCGATCGCGAGCTGCCGCTAGAAGAGCAGACTCCCGTCGGGGAGAGTAGAATCTCCAGCCGCTCCTACTCTTGCTGAGATTCCTTGCAGGCAGGGGCGGGTCTTTGTTTAGCACATGCGGCCAATCATATGCGAGGACACACTAGGATCATACCATTATGTGAAAGAAAGGTGGGGGGCACAGCATGTGTAGTGGTACAGGCCAGCTGCACAGAGCGACGGGGAGCCGGATTTAAATGCAAGCGCGTCGGAAAAAGTCAAGAAATGAGCGAAAACCGAAAAAAGAAGCAGCATCTGGCTGCTTTTCAATGATTTTGGAGAAAGCAAAGCTGAGTGCAGGATTTCTAAAATGAGAATAACCTTCAGAGCAGGGTAAACACTCAGGATTTATTGCCAGAGGTAGGAGAAGTTCAGACAATTAAAAAAGTTACAATCAGGGTTCCTGCGGGGTCTTAACAAGTCTTAAATTTGATAAATTTGAATTTAAGGCCTTAAAAAAGGTCTTAAATATGATTTAGAAAGTCTTAAAAATTATGGGATTTGAAAGGTACTTCTGTGTTGCAATCGCGTCTAAAATGTGTTTTGGGGGAAATGTCCGGGCTACAAAGTAACTAGTATGGTAATAGCCTTTCAGTTCCCCCCAACAATTTGTATTGAATTAAATCAACATGGAACCAGTAATCACTAACTTTGTTCCCCCCGGCCCCTTATTGGAGAACACCCAGCTAGTAACCTAGCAACCAAGCTTCAGCTCATGTAGCCTATCTTCGAATCTACTTACAAATTCATATGAGGAAGTGTCAGTTCAACCGTATTTGGTTGGAAAACATCTAATTTAGTGCTTGGTTGAAACCAGTGGAGGGAACGTGTTTGAAGCCCGCTGCACCTTTTGCTAAATAAATTAGCGTTTGTTTTGCTAGTGGAGCGTTAGCTAGTGCAGCAGCAGCTAATGTAGCGTTAGCTAGTGCAGCAGCAGCTAATGTAGCGTTAGCTAGTGCAGCAGCTCCCACAACAACACCGGGGGACCTCCGGGCGACGTTTGGGTCTACGTCAACCCTAAAAGCGGAGGTGCTGTAGACGCTAAATACCGCAGCTAAACACCAATCATACAACAGCAACGATGAAATAGTGTAGCCAAGGCAGCAGAGCTCTGAATATAGCTCTTGTCACTCTCTCTCAGACACACACACACACACACACACACACACACACACACACACACACACACACACACACACACACACACACACACACACACACACACACAAACACACACACACACACACACTAGGGCTGCTCGATTATGGCAATAATCAAGATTATGTTGGTCAATAATTAATATCATGATTATTAAATACGATTATTCATTGACTTTGAAAACATCCATTTATTGAACTTTAAAACAGATAATAATTTGAACAGTATCTTTTTAACTGTTGATTACCCTGAACGTATAATTCAACTGAAAAACCAATACAAAAATTAATTAAATAAATGATACATTACTAAAAAATTCATTAGATCAAATATGTTGTAGTGCACTGTCACAACCTAGCAAAGCAAAATAATCGTTTTTTTTCGATTATGTTGTTTTCGTAATTGTGGCAGGCCAAAATCGTAATTGCGATTAAAATATGATTAATTGCACGGCCCTAACACACACACACACACACACACTCAAGCACACACACACATACACACTTTTTGTCCAACACGCTAACACAGTTCTGTACTGTTATGCTGTTATGTTCAGTCACTGTTCTTATGTTGAACATGAATACATTTACTTTGTAAGTGATTATGGGACGTATTTCTTCTTTCATATCAATTTTCCTTCATACTTTATTGCCGTGAAATAGGTCTTAAATTCTATTCAAAGTGGTCTTAAAAAGGTGTTAAAAAGTCCGCCGCACTGCACATTATCCCTTGCATAAAGATAGATTGTGGGTCCCTTATAACATGTTGTACACAGTGGAAATAAACATTCTGGTCACCTTAACATCAGGGATCTTATACATTAAACTCCTTCTGAATCAAACCGTCACGATAGCCTCACCTTACTGATACCTCTTCAAATAGAAAAAAACACGTTACTTTACCAGCAGAGAGAAAATGGATTATTAAATTATTAATGTGACTAATAAAGAGCAGTTTGATTATTAAGTATTATTCTGTTGATCGATGTCATTACATTTGGTGAAAAGCATACAATGACTTGTTTATGACTCGTTTTGTCAAAGTTTAGGACTTGGACTTGACTTGAACTTGCCCATCCTGACTTGAGACTTGACTTGGACTTGAGCGCAAAGACTTGAGACTTGACTCGGACTTGAGCGCAAAGACTTGAGACTTGACTCGGACTTGCAAAACAATGACTTGGTCCCACCTCTATTACCTCTTTCTTACAAATAGGGAAAGTTTTGTCCCCCTGCTCCCTTTATTCTAACATGATCAAACATTATTAGGCACACATTTAGTGGTGTGTTCTCTGAGATATGAAAGTAGCTGCTGTAGAGGAAACTTCTGTGTAGCTATGCACTGGGAGTCACCGACTCAGGAAGGAGACACGGGAAGAGCAGTAGCTTTGATGTCAAACACATGATGGTTTATTTGGAGTTAACGGCCGGAGGATTCACATCACAAGTCCAAGAGTCAGAGGTTCTGACTTCACGGTAGAGTTGCCACGTCAATTCTGAAGAACTCTACCCCAGACCCATGTATTTAGCTAGTTCAGAGAGCATCATCAACATGCTGGATAACAAGATAGAATGATAACACCTCTATCAGCTGACGCCAACAGGCAGGAACAGGGAGACAGAACACTGAGAGCACAGCAGCCAAGGTTACAGGTGCCTGTGCTCAGTCAGGACAGTTTGAACTGATACACTGGGTCAAAGTTATGGGCCTTGGAAAATATTCCACAACAGCTGCGATGACAAATAGATATACAATCTGACCGATAAGCAGAGAAGTTGTAGCTGTTAAAGCTCTTTAAAGATTTTGACCAATGAAACTAATGCACAAGCACTTACAGTGGTATGGTTTAAAGTGAATGTACTCGCAGGTTTCTTGCTGCTCTGAGTTTTATCTTCATGGTTTATTTTACATCTTGTAAGTCCATTTGAATAAAAGCATGGCAAGGCATTTGGATTTATTAAATGTTATCAATTCCCATCCCTAGCCACAAGGGGAAACCATCATGTTTTTTAGTCCTGCTGCTACATGAATTCAGCCGTAAACGTTGACCCTTCCTTTCTGAACAGAATGGATTTTGCCATGTGAACGCGTCCCAGCTGACTGCACAAATCAAGAGCTACACCAACGTCACATCAGGAGATGCAGAGGCCCTGAAGCTGGCGCTCTTTAAAAACGGGCCGGTGGCTGTCAGCATCGATGCCGGGCACCGATCGTTTGTGTTCTACAGCCACGGTGTCTACTATGAACCGGCGTGTGGTGAGTTCACATCTCGCTGGTGCTCACACTTTTTGCTGCAACACCGATCTTGTTCTTCAACTTGTTTCTTGTGTTTTTCAGGTAATACCACTGCAGATTTGGATCATGCTGTGCTAGCAGTGGGTTACGGCACCCTGAACGAGGAGCCCTACTGGTTGGTAAAGAACTCATGGTCCACTTACTGGGGCAATGACGGCTACATCCTCATGTCTATGAAGGATAACAACTGCGGGGTCACCACTGATGCCACATATGTCACACTGGCATAGATTTGCACATTTCCACTATGTTTAATTATGTGTTGAATCCACTATGTGAGTGCCTGAGGATGAAAGCTGCCTGATATCAGACGTGTTGAGGCGCTGTGATCACTTCACAAGGAGCTGCTTAGTGATCATTATGTGTTGCTGTTGAATAACAGGGTGAAATAAGAGGCTGCACAGAATAAGCTCACGTTTCCAAACACAGTTTTTAACAAGTTTATTGCTGGTGCCACAAATCTGCAGTGCCTTCAATTCAGTTGTACAAAGTACATTTTTTTACATTTAAATGTTTTACTTTGTTGCATTCAAATGCAATGGTCAGGAATCAATGCAATAAAAAAGAAATAAGGTTTAATGGCGTCTGTGACCCTTTTGTTGGTAAGCAAACCTGTTCAAACACTGTTGGGCAGCAGCAATGCATGCTTTAGCAGAGTCATGCATTAGAATATGGATTCACTGAGTTCTTGTCGATGGGAATAATAGATTTAGGAGAACCAAATTCCTTTTGCCTGAGGGTCATGGCATAATACATAACCAATGCTCCTGATGCATGCCTTTACCTGTATTACACATTCCTATTTATAAAAATGACAGCCCTTAAAAACTTCATGTAAAAGTCAACAGTACCAGATATTTCAGTTTCAATAATAATCCATTTGACATCCAAGTATAATTCAATACAATAAAAAAGTCAGCAAACTTTTACAAATGATGCTGATATCAATATATGTTCACATTCTAATCACAGAAACATTCAATTGCATCCATAAAAAACCGCTAATGAGCTACGTAAGTCTGACAAAATGTTACATTGATACAGTTAACTATGCAATCTCACTCAACTAGCTTTATTTCTCTTGGCTTGAGAATATAGACATTTGAGGCAGTTTGCTTTTTCAATACAGCATTAAAGTACCACAAAAGTATTCCAGCAGCAGTCCACAGACATGGTACACTTTTCTATAAAAATATTAAAGTTATTTTAATAACAAATCCTTCAGTCTGAAAAAAAAAAAAAGTCAATACAAACATGCAATCTGTGTGTCTGCAAATTCTGTCCCATCACGTATGTAAAATATATCAAACCACATCTCAAGATTTTTACTAAAGGTGTAAACAGTTGAGCAGATTGTAAAGAAATACTTTTAACCTTCATTTTCAAAAAGTGTAGGCTGTTAAATTAGCCTTGGCAGCAAATATAAAAGCCCTGTTTGTGCGTATGTGCATTTCAGTTTGGTGTGTTTGCATAGAGCTCTTAATGCAGATCATGTATTGCATAGAGGGTGTTGTGTGAACAGGATACACTACAGGTGAATAGGGTAGAGCATTGTATCTATGAACTAACCAGCACATTTCCCCTTAAGGAAATCATTAACCCATGTTTTCTGAAATCTTTGTTTAAATAAGCTAATCAGGAATTGGCATACATTTTCGTAGCAGAAATCCAAACATAGGAAAAAGCCAGGTTTTAAATGGTTTCATTTCATTGACAGGTTTGAAAGTGAAAGGTTTATACAGAGGGACATTTGGGTCTTTCTTGTTATCACTCCATGTATCAGAAAACATCCATTAAAAAATATAAAATAAGAATAACATAATTTGAATCAGACTATGAATGATATAAAAACTTCAGAATAGATCTACATAAGTGCTGCTGAAGTGGGGATTTCTGTCTGGGAAAAAACATTGGAGAAAACTGCCCTAACTAACCCTCTAAACTTCCATAGTTGATTGAAAATGTTCTTTGTATAACTAGAAATTGTTATGTTTAAATATGCAAATGGTTCATTGACTAATGCTAACTTTTGGCAGATTAAGGAGAAATCTACGGACGCATATATACAAAGTGTAGTAAACTAATCCCCTAATGAGCATTTAGGATGTTTTTATTTGAAACTCTTTCAAAAAGACGTGTAATAGAGGCACAACGGCCCCAAATCTAAAATTCAACCAGTGCATGTGAGGAAGTCTGTAGTGTCTCATCTTAAGTACAGTACCCGGTAACAAAGTTGAGGTTGTTGTGTTAATGTGAATAATTGAATTTGTGCACACTTCACACACAGTTAGCTAGATCTCCTGCTTTTCTGTGCTGCTTACTGATTGGCTCGTCTCCTCAGACATCTCAGCCTTCTCCTTGTCGGAAGGCGACCTGCAGGAGACCAAACACAGGGAACACACTGAGCTCTCTGCACATGGGAAAAAGGAGGGCTAAGGAGCTTCAAGGACACATTAGCCAAACCAAGGTCACATTGTGGTACCTCATGTCCCAGTTCTCTGCGTCCTCCACCGTGTCTAGCAGAGGTCTGTCGGCCGTTTCGGGCAGCGCCAGGGCCAGGAGAGCCCCGAGCAGCGGGAAGGTACCAAAGATGAGCAGAGGTGTAGTGGGGCTGTAGCTGTGAAGTATGTTTATCATGGGAGCTAACACACCGCCCATCCTCGCAAACATGCAGGACACACCTAGTCCTGTTTGCCTGTACACAAGGAAGAAACAACATCATTGGAAAAAGGGTTTTATAATAGGTATTCAAGTAAAGAGCCCATTATGCTTGTTCTTTCCTGTAGTGTGTTGTATAGGTTTTTGTGCATGTAATTGGTCTGCAAAGGCTAAATTCCCTCAGCTTCTCAGTGTATCATTGTACGTGATAAGCGGCGGGAGATCTCTAAGCGTTTAACCAATCACAACAGGGTCGGCCAGCTAACCAATCAAAGCCGATAATACAAGTTTGTAAAGCGTGTATTAATCTTAACAAAGCTCCGTCAATAAAGCTAAGTTCAGTCATGAAAATATTATTTCTAAGCACTTATAAGGAACTTTTTACCTAGTCACTAATGCTTTCTACAAGAACCTTCACGTCATGTCTTGTTAAAAATCACTTTGAGATAATCTTGGATGAGAAAATGAATTGAAACTGTACTAATGAACATGTCTTACCGAAGCACAGTGGGGAAAATCTCAGCAGTGTACACATAGATTACAGCAAAGGACGCTGTTATGCCAAACTTTCCCACCATGGCAAGACCAGTCTGGACATGGGGATAATCTACAGGCAGAGAGAGAGTTGAGGCACTTGAGTATGAGTTATTTGAGGATGAGATAAAGGTTTGGAGATAGTGATGGGAATTATGGCTCTTTGAAGGGAGCCGGATCTTATGACTCCGTTCCTTTGCGAGAGCCGTTCAAAAGAGCCGTTTTTTTAAGGGGACGGGGTTACTAGGTTTATCTGCGAAATATACCTTTTATAATTCAATCAAATGTAGCCCTGTTTTGACTAATGATTTATATGTGCACACATATATCACTTAAATTATTCAACGCATCCTTTGTACTGAAGTATTCAAAAGTAAAAATTACATGTTTAATATAAATGATTTGCTGTGGCCAATTGTTTTCATTGCATTTACAGACGCTTGTAACACTCTGATTGTAGAACCACGCTAAAAAAAAAAGCAGATAGCAACACCTATACAAACTGACAACAAATCTTTGCTGAGCCTAAAAATAATCAGAAATAAATATCATAATGAAAATAAATATAATTGCATTGCTCAAAACAGCAGCATCCAACCGTCTCTAATCTTTGGATATTACATGTCACTGCATGCATGCACGGAGCACCCGTGTAAAAAATGGCTCGTTCGCGGGCGCGAGCCGGCTCCCGTCGTTCACTTAAACTTTATGCCGGCTTGTTCGCGACCGACACATCCCTATTTGGAGAACGATTACAGAAATCATTAAATGCACCTTGAGGAACAGCGAGCGTAAGCAGACAGGCGAGTCCTCCCACAGCCAGAAATCCACTTAGGGAGAGTCTACGACTGTAGGGCAGGACGAGCAGGACCACAGAACGGGCCGGGATCTCAACCAACCCGAACACAAACTGGGTCAGGTAGATGTCGGTCCCCAGCCTGGACACACCCAGAGAGAGGCCGTAATACACCAGCACATTCACAAACCTGGGGAGTAACGGAGGGAGAGAGAGAAATAAAACAGACAAAGAAACATGGAATGATTTGGTATTCACATTCAATAGAGCATTTGAGCATAAACACATACACAGATGCCTGAAACGTACCAGATGTAGAACAAGATGAAAGCCCTCTTTCTCATTTGAGGAGTTCTTACGAGATCCACTGCTGAATAACTTTGCTTCCCTCCACTTAACTTCTCAATCTGGATAGGAAAACAAAAGCATTTAAAAGACAACGCTGGTGATATTCTACTTTTTTATTATTTCAAACAAATCCAAGTTTTAACCCAGTAGCCAAAGCATGTGTTATATAGCCGCACCCCCCAGGATTGCCAAAGCACCCCCTAAGCACCCCCAAGAAATACATATATTTTTCTTTTTCGAAAATTATTATTATTATTTTTATTAAATGAGAAAAAATATTAATTACATCAATGCAAATGTGAAACAAACAAATGTTTGACCAAAAACATAAAGCCAACACAGGTGATATGATTAGGCCAATGGCCAGCACCCATTCGATTTTTGACCTACCCATAGGCTAAATTACTTTGTGACACTTGAGTGACTTCCTGTTAGCTAGAGCGCCAAATGATTTGCTAACAGCAAAGTGAAAATATGATCGTTTTTTAGTCCTTAAACGTCCACGTGTGGACACTCAATCAAAGCCACCTGAAAGCGAGAGGGATTCTGCACATAATAGGCCTCGTGATTACAAGAAGCTTACTTCTGGGTCTCTGTGTTTCATTCAAGCTCTGCTCTGTGTGTGTGTGGCACGAGCCATTTTGTGTGCGTGAGCGAGCGAGCGAGCGAGAGAGAGAGAGAGCGCACCGGTGGGTATCTACCGGAGATCGTTGTGGTTAGCATCTGGTGCTAGCTAGCCAAGCTAACGGGTATAAGGAGCTTTTTCAACAACAAGGTGGAGGGAGAACTCTCTCCTGTCAGACGGAGAGTCTCAGGTGTAATTTATTATATGTAATGTCTTGTCTTTTATCTGGACCCTGAGTCTGTAATAAAGTTTTCATTCATTCAGGTAACCTCAGCTCAGGTGAAGTAAAGGACTCTCAGTGTTTAGATAGTTAACTTTAGTCTAGTTATCTCAGTGGGTCTCAAACGGTTTGTTTTAAAAGGGGAGTGATTTGTAAAATATCCATAAAGAAAAAGTAAATCTGTTTACAGTTCTGTTTCATATGGGTGATGAGAGATGTATCCATAGATCTCTTAATGTTGCTCTCAAAGTGCACCAGATTGATGCTTTTAACTTCAATATTTAAAAAAAAATCTTCCCGGGGGAGCATCCCCCCTAGAGGAGGTGAGGACCCTCCTAGAGGACGTGAGGTCCACTCCCCACTTGTAAAAATAGCACTTGCTTACACATATGCCGTGAGCTGATTATCGAGCCTTCATTGTAACAGTCGCGGGTGCACTGTGTGTGCGTGTGTGTGCGTGTGGGGAGTGTTGCAGTAGAAAATTCAACTGTAGTGCTGGTGCATTAATGGGAAACCCTTAAAGGTGGGGTAGGTAAGTTTCAGAAACCGGCTCGAGTGCACTAAAATGTGAAAGTACACAGCCGAAAAGAATCTGCCCCTTCCTTCAGACTTCCTTACAGAGCACCTCCTCCAACACACATGAACGCGCACATGACGTCAGCAGACTGGTGAAAATAGGCTTGTTTGAGACAAGCGAGACCTGCGCAGTTGCGATCAACGTCTTGCTAGTACGTTGCATGATGGTTAGTCATTTTGTCCGACTTGCTCTCGCCTACATGAGACGTTGAAATCTCGCGGGACAAAGACGCCCGCAGCCTTGAGAGCGAGGCGCGGCGAGTCGGCGCAGTTCCTCTCCACGGGCTGCGGAAGCGAAATGCTTGATGGGAAACGACTCGCTGGTATCTCGAGCTGAGCGCTCATTGGTGGTTTTTACCCCGTGCTGCTGATGAAACTCTCCAATTGGCTCGGCAAAAGTTTGTTGTTGTTTTGTGTCAGTTTTACGTCGCCACATCCATTCCCATTTTTCATCATTGTTCCACAATGTTTATCATCATGAAATTAATATCTATATATTTTATACTATACTTGCACTGCTTACCGTTTTCATACTTTATATATCTTAGCATATTCATACACACTGTTCATACTGCTCACAGGCTGATATCTAGTGTATTCATACCCCTCACTGTTTATTCATCATTCAATTCATTCTATATTTTATTCTGTAGATTGATTGTGTACATTACTTTTCACTTTACTGCTTGTCGCACTCCTGGTTAGAAGCTAAACTGCATTTCGTTGTCTCAGTACCTGTAATATGTGCAATAACAATAAAGTTGAATCTAATCTTGAGCAGGAACAAATGTATTTACTTAGTACATATCTGACATTAACGATTAAACACATGGCGTGTGCATTCTTTATAAATGCAAACCGAGTCAAGCCGACTCCGGAGGTGGTGGTATGCACCTTAAAGTTGTTTGCAATCCGCCAAAAAACCGAGAGAAGAAGAAGAAGAAGAAGACGAAGCCGACTCCGAGCTGTCCGACTTCAGGCCAGCTTTTTGAGACCTCCCCCGGCTGCGATCGGCTATTCTCGTCTACTTTCGAGGCGAGCCGCAACGCGTCTCAAACAAGCCTAGTGGCCGCCTGTTGCTGGCGAGTCATTGAAGTACTGCTGCAATGCACGCCCAATGAGGGCACGAGATACATTTGTGCGTGCACGAGATGGAAGGCTGACAGACAGGGAGGCAATCCAATCCGTTTAGCCGGGCCGGCTAAACGGATTGGTTGTACTTTTTACAGTACCACGGGTTCGTTCCACAGATTACATTTTTTTATGGATTTTTTGTCAAAGCACTTAAGATATTCATTGCTATCGGGATGTTAAGAGCATTCCATGGAATATAACAAAAAGTGTATCTCGAGCCGGTTTCTCAAACTTACCTACCGCACCTTTAATGTTTGAGCACCCTCTATGAAACGTCAAGCTACCCCACAGCACCCCCTAGAGAAAATCTCTGGCGCCGCCACTGCGCATAGCTATTTAAACAATTAAAAACACATGCATTTGCCCAACTGTTGCAGTGAGTGTTCCTTTGTTGCTATGACCTTGGGTACTGTGGGTTATTTTGAGAAAATCCCACTTACATACCTATCCTGCTATTAATACTCACTAGAATGCCAAAAGTGCATTGTGTATCACCAACAGCTGGACATTTTCACCCAGCAAATTCACTTCTACTGTTGTTTTAAAGGGGACATATTAAACAAAACTACAGTTCACATTTGTTAAAGGAAATTAGTGAGCAATCTTGACACAATATAGACACTGTGTAACATCTCATCTTGGCATGATTTTAAATCCGCTGTGAGATAAAGGAATTATGCAGTGTAGGGAATGGACAAACAAAGTGATGGGTTTGTTGTTTCCTTTCCATTCTAAAAAAGATTAGTCTGTAACAGGTCTTGCTGCAGACAAAAGACACATTGAAATAGTTCAGATAGAAGGCAGTTATGAAATGCAGAGAGACACACTTGTACAGCAGGAGGTAAGACACGGCCGTTCACTAGTGCTGCTTTGCGGAGGAGTGCGATGGCTTCCTCCCTTCTGTCGTTGGCCAACAACCATCGGGCCGACTGAGGAACCACCCTGACAGAGGTAAAGAGAGAGAGAGCCGACAGGGGGAGAAGGGAGAGGAGAAAATGCCACAATGAGGAGTAGGACAGGAAATGATAATCACAAAGAGGGCATTAATTTACTCTTGTGAAGAACTGTATGAATAAACATTGGGTTAATGTTCAGGTGCTTGTTGAATTTCCCACCATATATAGAAGATGAGCAGGAAACCGGGGGCCGATATGGCCAGTTGCAACTTTCTCCAGTCTCGTATCAAGTATGCTACGCCCGCTAGCAGTATGTAGCCCAGACCAAAGGCGTAGTCGGTGATTATACCAGCCAGCATGCGTCTTTTGGTGCACGTCCACTCAGTGCCTTTAGAAAAAGAGTGCAGGGTTTGGAGCGAGAGGAGAGGAGAGGAGAGGAGGATTCATGAGGAGAGGGTTAAGCTAGGGTCGTGGTGTGGAGCTTTAAGGTTGTGGAAAGGGTGGCAAGGGTTTGTGTTGTGGGATTGGACAAAGAAAGCATGAGCAATTAACACTTTAAGTACGATATGTGAAGGTTTGACAAATGAGATGACTAGCCACTGACAGTTAAGAATTATGCCTGCTAGTAACATTACACAGGACATATAATGGTCATTTTCAGGTTTCATATTTCAAAGCGTCTTTGGGTTCAAGAAACCGCTATAGAAATAAAATATATTATTATTATTATTATTATATTTGTATTTTGCACCTCTACTGTGACATGTTGACATGTTTTAAAAAGCTCTTTATTTTTCTCATACTGCCTGTGCTGCAGCACCTCTTTTCACCCTCTGTCTGAAACCAGAGCCCAGTCTGCTCTGATTGGTTTGCTGGCCGGCTCTGTTGTGATTGGTCAACTGCTTGTAGATATCCTGCCCCTTAGCCTATCACATACAATGTGTTGGAGCACTAGCCAATAGAAGTGCGAGTGTTACGTAGTGATGTCATTGTGTTACGGATTATCCACAGTTTTAGCCTTTGCAGACCATTTACATGCACAAAAACCTATGTAAGACACTGCAGGAAAGGGAAAATCCCAAAGAGCATAAAAGGGCCCCTTTAATTGTCATTGAAAATGAATAATTCACAATTCACACGTGAGAAGTCTGTTGAGTGCTTTGTAAATACCAAGTACAAAGGCGTTGATGATGACTCCCGATATCGTGGTGCCAACTAGAAAGCGGAGAGTCACATAGATGGGGAAGTTTGGTGCAAAGGCCACGGCGACTCCAAACAAGGTCTGAAGAGCGATGGACAGCAGCAGGACGAAGCGTCGGCCGTACCTTACACAGAGAGAGGAGCGGAAATGAGTTTGCATGAAATAAATGATCAAACATGACTGTGACAGGGTGACCTATACAGACAAATGTTACTGTGAGAAAATGCAAAACCTGCAGGAATGTCAACAAGATGTGAGTGTTAGTGCCCCTAGGGATTTGAATGCTGTCTCTTTAACTAAAAATGATGGAGATATTGATATGGAGATATTTAGGATGCTCAGCATTGTGAACATCAAGCTAAGTCCTCTCTCTTTATATCTGATAGGCATTATAGACACTGGGTTTTATTTATTTACGAGTCACTTTCTTTACTGCGTTGTTGTCTTTTAATATGGGCCCCTATCGAACATGCTCATATGATATATTGGATTAAGTTGCAGGTACTGGTGCTGGTTTTTCTCATTGTGCACCAGCTGGAATAATATGCAAAACAATCGAAATTGTGTTTTCACAAAGACCTCAACAACTGTTAGCGACAGGATGTGTTTCAGGTACCAAAAGTAATACAGAAAGATGCTAAAAAGTCAAAGCAAATATAGATTTATAGTTTTATTATTATTTTTATTTGGCTTTTTAGCATTTCTGCTATACTGTATATACTTCTTATTTAATAATAATAATAGATTTAATTTGTTCGCGCTTTTACAGGTGCTCAAAGACGCTTTACAGATATAGTGAAGAGAAAAATAAATAAAAATAAAGGATTATTGATATAATTTGTATTACTTGTCAGCCATATTGAAAATTAGGTCTCTACCTTGATGTGTTCAAATAAAGGATACATTAATTAATTAAATAAAAGCTATAATTTCCTAGATTTTACCATCTTGACAGAAAAACGAAATATGTTATGATATATTAAATAAACATTATCAGTTAAACCCCACCGCAATACAACTCATTAGCATGACCTTTGACATATGGGCCACTTGTGCAATGTCTCTGAATCCGACAGTTTGGCTGTTTGTTTCGGCTTCAGGATTAAGATGGAGAAACAAAGCCTACCTGTCAGCCATGGCTCCAAACAGCACAGAGCCCACCAGCAGGCCGAACATGTAGACAGACGACCCGAGACTGTTCAGTCCCGCTCTGTCACACACCAGGTCCCACTGTCAGAAGGGAAGAAAACACAGAAGAGATTGCAGGACAAAAATTAACAACTTTTATTTTTCCATTAATAGACTGGGGCAAGTGTTAAAGCTGAATCATTTGTGTGTCAGTTCCAATCAAATTGTGCTATCAAGTGTTGTTGCATTGCAGCTGGTCAAAGCAAAAGCTCACTGTGGCAAATATCAGATTCACAAAAGAAAGGCAGTGTTGTTTCTTGTGTCGAAATGAAAAGTAAAGCCTTAAACCATAAATATATACCAGTCATTGCTATGTTATTGTCTTACCTTGCTTGTTTGTGCTCACCTTACTTTTATGTTATCTTGTGATAACTTACATTTTCAGTATAATAGTATCATGTTTCAACTCTAAGTCATGTAGTTTGATTTCCTTGTGCAAATGACTAAAAAAGCAACAACATCAGCATGTTATATTATAGACCTCGGTGACTGTGGTACTCTGGAAAGTCTCCTTGCTGTACACCCAGCCCTGTCCACATGGCACACGCTCAGTCCGGTTGACATCTGAAGAGAAACAGGAGGAATCCGAGAGGCTGAAGTTCCCACTGAGTGTACCCGGTAATGAGGACTGATTCCCGTGTACTGAGCTGGAGCTCTCTCGGCAGTGGTGGGGCGGCGAGGATCCGGTGAAGATGCTCACCATCATGTGGAAAGCGAGGAGGATCTGGGGTAAACAAATCCATACGTACAGAGTTTTCTGATACCTCCCGAAGCCTCCGACTGCAGAGAGGATCTGGTCGAAATTCATTTTGGGGAAATGTAGGACAATTTGGAGAAGGAAGTGGAAATGTGCAGTGTGTGACACCAAGCAGAGTGTCGACACCAAGCAGACCCGTATCAGAGTGGATGTGGGGAGCTGTGGCTGGTTCCTCAGGATGTAAACAACAAGGACATCAGTTCCCATGTGCTGCTAGTCCAGCTCTTCCAACATGACCCATCTTGAGCAGTCCTGAAATTACCTGAAAGGCAGAAACTTCTCCCACTTCCTGCCCAAAGCTGGCAAATAGTTTCTCCAATCGAGGGTGCATACCGTAGGTCTATTAAGTGGGAAGATGGAAAAAATAAGACCCTAACCAACAAGTGCCTCTGTGATTCTCCTCCCACACGGTGCAAAACCCGGATAAATGGAAACAGGTTTTGTAAGGAGCAATGTGGAGCGCGTATGTAAGGGGAGGGCAGGGCTATAGCCTGGTTACAACATCTCCTAAAACATGCTCCAATGCAACATAACACTGGCACTGGCTATTATTATGCCTTTTTGTCATGCAAACGATTGAAGCATCAGTTGCACTTGCCATTCACAATTTTGAAATAAAATACCGATTGTTCATTTGGGGTAAACAAAACACATCTTCACCAGAAATCTGTAAGAAACAATGTGTGGGCATATCTGCTGCCATCTTCTGCTGGAAGATTGCATTACAGTGAGACCCCTCAGCCTGTCTGCCATTCACTTATACTGAAAGATAATGTGGTCATACATTATAAAGGTATCTTTTTTTGCTTCACAGTGCTAAACCAGTACCTTTCACATAGAGAGGAGCGGACCTGAGTTTGCAAAAATGAACAACTACCACTGTGAATTAATGAGATAAACTGGTGTGATTTATACTGTGGACATGTCACCACCACTTTTTGAAAAGGTTGAGTTTGTCCCCGTTGATATTTCAAAGCACAAAAATATATTCTGCAAAATAGCTTGCACTAAAAAGTCAACCAAAACATTAGAAAACCTTTTAGAAAGCTTGATATGCACAACAGAAACTCATAAAATGCAATGTAGAATAAGTAAATGTGCATCGTCATTAGCTGACAAATACAACCCCCAAGCTTCAAGAACATTTTACTTAAAAACCTGCATGCACTGATCAGTAACTTAAAATAATGATTGATATCGTTTATTTTTGATAATTATCTACTCTACTCTCTTACCTTATTTGGGCAATTTAAAATCGCTATTTCAACCTATTGCATTGCCAGTTGCTCTGGTTTTAATTGATTACGTTGCTTTCAATCTTAAATATTCTATTTATTTATTTGACTGATTTTAGCTTTTTATAATTTCTGCTCTTATCTTTTCTTATTTGTGTTTTTAATGCCTTTGATTTGGACATGTTGCAATATAGTTTTATGATGTGTTTAACAGATTGTCTGTGTTATGTCTAGAACTCAATACCAAGACAAAATAATAATCAATCAATCAATCAATCAATGTTTATTTATATAGCCCAATATCACAAATGTTACATTTGTCTCAGTGGACTTTACAGTTTGTACAAAATATCAGTATGACAATACGACACCCTCTGTCCTTAGACCCTCACATTGTACAAGGAAAAACTTCCGGAGAAAACCCACAGTTTAAAGGGAAAAATGGGAGAAACCTCAGGGAGAGCAACAGAGGAGGGATCCCTCTCCCAGGACGGACAGACGTGCAATAGATGCCGTGTGTAAATTGAAAAGATAATACATTTGCAACATAGGTAGTCCAAATGTTTGGAAATGCATGTGTGTATAATAGGAAGATGAATCCACGAGGATATCCATCCAGGACCTATGATCCAGGACCACAGCCACGACTCAAGATCCAGGGCTCGCGATCCAGGACAGAGGAGCGCAGGATCATCCATGACTCCGGATCCCGGCGTATATAGACACCAAAAAGAAAGACATTTGGGGAAGCTGGGTTAATCGGAACATGAGAGTACACAGGTATAGACAGAGAGAAGGAAGAAGTAAGATGTCCCCCGACAAACTAAGCCTATATCAGCAAAACTAGGGGCTGGATCTAATCAGCCCTAACTATAAGCTTTATCAAAAAGGAAGGTCTTATAATAATGAAAGAAGAAGGACCAAATGTACAAGGTTACTGTATATTCACTATGCAAAATGTAATGTATTATAATATACAATTAGGCATGTCTTTTCTTGGGCTTGTAGTTTTTGTAAATAATGATGCAGCCATGGTCAGGAATGGCCGACTCAGCATGTTATCTGGAACACAATGGCTCCTCTCTCTACAGTCCAGTTTGGCAAGTGGGAGGCAATCACTGCAGATTCAAGTCAGTGTTCATTAAAAGAAGAAAACCTACAGTAAACCTAAATGCACATACAGTATGTCAGTTGAAAGAAAACCAAACCTTGCTGGGGTATAATGTCTCTATGTTGCGAAATGTTGTCCAACAAAAATGATATTAAACGAGTAAAACAATTGAAAGATTAAAATACTCAATTTCATAACATGTATTATTGGATGACTCAGAATTAGGTATTAGGTGTTTAAGTTTTACATTTGACAAATGTTTTGTGCATTTCATAGCCCCTTCCTGTTGTGGGTGCTCCTGACGTCACTGATGCTGGTTTCGGTGTCTGGGTGACAGCAGGGAGAGAAACTGTAAAGTCAGATATATTTCAACCGGAAGTGATTAGAAACAATGTGTTTCTTAGGAAAATAAAAGCACAAAAATGGCATTTAAATGTCCAGTAAAAATTATATAAAATTGAAAGAATTATGATGATAAATTGAAGTGTTCATAACGAAAAATTACATTAACACATAGGCCTACAATACACAAATACTCAGGAGATTCATTGATTTTAATTTGTATAGGCCTTCATTGACTTTTATAGTTATATACAGTGTCCTATAATAAGGACAATAAAATAAAATAAAGCTGATACGTACAACATATAATTCAATCCAAATCAAAACTGTTTTCATTTGAAGTTCTTTTTTTTTAATGAAAACTATTGTTAGAATTACAGTAGGTTAGTAAGTGTGTAAATACTATGGTTTAAAAAAATATATAATCCGACTTTTTTTTTAAACAATGTATATGTATGACTTTTACATGTGTCTTTGAAAAAGAGTGTTTGTGCCACACTACACTATGAGTGTTATGACACAAAACAATGTTACTTTTTAATCACACAATTATTTTGCAAATTGTTTTTTTGCATATTACGTATTTTTTTAATGCAATATTGAGAATCCCACAATTTATAAAAAATGTCCTCTTTGTTTATTTTTTGTGTGTTTAAAAAAATCTATCCTCTGATTAGGATTTTATTTTGAAGGCGGAGACCAGAAGTGTTACAGCTCTCCTCCTGTGTAGCTTCACGGTGAGGGAGGCTCCGGAGAGAGTGAGACACCAGAGACAGAGGGAGATGGCTGAAGGGAAGGGACAGTGGACCGGGTCAAGAACGACTTTGGAAACCAGCCTAAGGTGACCTTGATCCTGCAGAGCAGTGTTCAGAGTCCAGAGAAACAAATACAAATCACAGCGATCCGCACACACTGCAGACAGGACACATCTCCAATCATCAGTATCCGCTAATTCCCCCTGAAGGATTACCAAACTCATCCCTTTTTGGATTTCTGATAAAGAAAACGCTTTGGATCAGTCCCTGCTGAGTGTGAGTATGTTTCTTCAGATTTGTAATGGCAATGTCATGCATCATAAGGCCAGCTGATCATGTTCTGACACACTTATTGTGTTACTGTAAGGACACAATTTAAAACAAAACCATACAAACCACATCCGTGCTGACATATCCTGATGGAGATGAAGCCACGCCCTCAGACAGCATTCAAATAATATGTTTAAGCCACATGCATGAATGAACCCTGGCCTATTTACAGGGATTCATCCAGCAGCACCATCAGCAGCATTAGCAGCTTGCAGCATTCACTGCAGGACAGTAGCATATTTTTTTACTACTAGAGGACACCAAATAAGCCTTAGATAAGATATTTCTAAGATATATCTCAATAAATTGCTTTCATTTTGCATTATTTAACAGAAAAAAAACCTTTCAATGTACGTGTATCTCTCTTCACTGTTAGATTTCCAACTATGGTTAAGTAATTGTTTCCATAACAATGAAAACACATGAGATATTTCATCAATCCTAAAGTCCGTTGTGTCTAATCAATGTTTTTTACTGAAGATACTTTCAATAGCGTTTAGATGCCAAGAGCTCATCTTTTTGTCCTTTTTTAGGACCTGAGAAAGATGGAGTTTTTCCAAGTTGACATATTATAGTTGAGTTGAATAAGGGCAGTGATTTAGGAGTGTTCAAAATGCATCATTTATAATCCCAAATCCGCATGTGCGTGTTGGCAGTTTTAAAACTGACAATCATCTCATATCCACAGATTATGTAAAACAGGAAGTGCTCACTAAGAAGGTTCAGAGAGTACAACAGAGAGTAAAAAAACAGCTGCCGCAATGAGAAAGACGTCCCAAGGTTGTGATGCTGCTGAACAGAGAACAGAAGCATGTGCAAAAGCGTCTGGTCATTATTATATGATGGTGTGTCACGCATGTGCTTGAAGCATTTGATGTCAGGTGCACTCATCCATCTCCACCTGTCTTTCATCCTGTGCTAGTACAGAGACAGGAACCTATTCATGCATCTGGCTACAGAGGACACACAAACACACACAAACACTCACACACACCTTTTCTCTTTCGTCTCTATTTTTATTCCGCTCCGCATCGCTAGCTGTTTGATGTGACAGTGACAGGCAGGTGAATTTCACGATCCGATGTGTGGTGTGTTTACTGACTGAAGTCTGCTGAACAGTGAGCCCTGCACAATCAAAACTGCAAGGTCGCTATGCACGAACACTTCTGCATCTACTTCAGATAGGGCACTTAGAAGTACAACTGTATTAGTCTGTGTTATGAGGAGGGCCTCCCTTTGAGATTGAGACTCAGGAGATTGCGCTGCAGGGATAGCTACTGGTTCCAGAGTTATATTTAGGGGGGGCTCTATAATGCTCATTTCAGGCTTATATAATATTGATAATATATTTTATTTCTATAGCGCTTTTCTTGAACCCAAAGATGCTTTACATTTGGGAGGGAGGGTAGACAAACAAAACAAAAACAAAAAGAAACAAAACAAAACAGAAAAGCAGTCAGGAGGAAGTTGATTGAGAGGGGGGGGGCTTATGGATACAGAGTTGAAGAGGTGGGTTTTGAGGCGGGACTGGAACACGGTGAGGGACTCAGACTCACGGAGGTATTTGGGGTGGGAGTTCCAGAGCTTCGGGGCTGCCACAGAGAAGGCTCTGTCCCCGAAGCTCCGGAAGTTTGGCCTTGGGGATTGAAAGCAAACCGGGCTGAGGTGGATCTGAGGGACTGGGTGGTTGGTAGAGGAGGAGGAGGTCAGTGAGGTAGGGGGGGGCAGATGGTGGAGGGGCCTATATGTATTGTGTGCTGACATGTGTCCATGCTTTAATGTTCAAACAAGTATCTATGTTTCTCATACTGCCTGTGCTGCACCTCTTTTCACCCTCTGTCTGAAACCAGAGCCCAGTCTGCCTCTAATTGGTTAGCTGGCCCGCTCTGTTGTGATGGTCAACCGCTTAGAGAATGTCCGAACCCTCAGCCACCACGTACAATGTGTTGGAGTGCAAGTGTTACATAGTGATGTCACTGTTAATGGAAGGAAACAAAGGAATCCAATGAAGTTGTTTCAGGCAGGGGGGGGAGTGTTGTTGCTAATAATGGCAATAACAAAGCCAACAGAAACATTCTTTAGTAAACCAATACAAAAATGCTCAAAATAATAGTAATTATCCTAAAATAAAGGACATAAATACATCAATATTAAGTTAATAGACATGTATAACATGTAACAGTCGCTGTGAGCTGGTAAACATGATCAGGTCTTTCAAACAAACTTGTCAAGCTATTTTACCAAAAAAATGGAGAATTGTACCTTAATTTCAACAATGTATCAGCACTTATTCATACCCATGTTAGCCTGCATTCTGGCTGCTTACACAGAAACCCCTCGCAGCAAAAAAGCCACTGTTCTGTGCTTTTACTTGTCGCTGAACTCCCATTAGTCCTAAACGTTCATGGATCAGTTAAGTAGTACACTCATGTTATCATGCTCTCATCAGGAGTTGCTCTTAAACCCCATGTGCCTTCTTTCATTTCCCGACAGATGAAGAGTGCTCTCTGTCTGCAGTGCATTGGCTGTGGTTCCTCAGCGAGGTGCAGACTCAGCACTTGAAGTTAAAGACTCTAGGAAAGAGAGAGGCGCATTGATTAGTGTGGACTTTGTGTTTCAGCGACACCAATATGTATGTCTCTGTTAAAAACCTCTCTCCATCCCTCCTTCCTCCAGGTTTGATGTACCTCAGGTGGACCTGCTAGAGCTGCAGCTCCTGAGGCCCATGGCCCCTGTTTCTCTCCTCCAGTGAGAGGTGAGCCAAGCTGGCCTCCCCGGCCCCCTCCCTGCCCCCGGCCCCGACCTGGACCCCGACCCAGACCCCGATCCTGACGGGCTGCACCCACACGAGGAGCAGTATGTGAGCGAGGCCGAGGCCAGCCTGCTCCCCACGCAGCCGGAGCCCCCCGCCTGCAGGGACGCAGAGACCATCACAGGTGTGGTGTGAGGTGTGTGTGTGTGTGTGTGTGTGTGTGTGTGTGTGTGTGTGTGTGTGTGTGGTGTGTGTGTGTGTGTGTGTGTGTGTGTGTGTGTGTGTGTGTGTGTTGTGTGTGTGTTCAAATGAGAGTGTGTGGTTTAGGAAACAGAGGCTTGATTTTTGCTTATATTATGGATTATTTTTTATGTTTTTAATGACATACAAACCATGATTTTAAATAAACATATTTGACAATTGTACTTTGTTAAAGGCATACTAAATAATACAGCTTGAAGCAACATTTGTATTACCTAGATAGGACATTAAAGAGGCCTGCATGCAGCACCAGGCAGCAGTATATTGAGGTCTGTCCCCCCTGTCCTCTCTGTGCAGATGTGTGTAACAGCACCGACCTGCCAGAGTTCGAGATCATCAGCCTGCTGGAGGAGCAGCTGCCGGTGTACCGGCTGAGGGCCGACACCGTCTACGGCTACGACCACGATGACTGGCTGCACACGCCGCTGGTCGCCCCGGACACCAGGATCGACCTGACCACCGAGCAGATCGAAGAGACCCTCAAATACTTCTGTGAGTCTTGACATCACCTTAACATATCTATTTGCTGTGCTGCCCGTGCTCCTGATGAAGTGAAGCTTTTAGTAGTAAAATCCAGGCGTTGGCAGAACCTGGAGATTAAACCTGGTGGATTTTCATCTCTGGGGTTAATGGTGGAATATATGGCTTTAAAGTAAAGGATTAAACCACCTGGGTATTTAATCCTTCAATCGCTTCTTGGAAAAATTATCTACTTTAGGGATAGTTCACTTTTAATTTGAATGACCAAGAATTTAAGGGCATATGCTATTATACGTTTAACAATAAGTTAAATAAGGGCTATGGTAGGGTTATTATGGTATAGTTTTACAGTGATATTACTACAGTTGCATCATCTTTCTTGTCATTACAGCTTGTTTTAAAGTTTCCACCCTCTACTTCTCCAAGGAAATGAGTTGCTTAGAAGTAATCTCACAGGCTTGTTAATGCCATACCTCCTTTCTATTTTTGGTTTAATTTTCATTCTTGTAAAACAGATAATGATTCTGCTTATTGGCTCAGGACGATCAATACATCCTCTGGTCATTTTGCGCTCTTCCTGCCATATAACCACTCTGCGTTATCCTTTGTCTCAGAGAGCAGATCACTCAGAGGCTTTCTCAAACAAACCGTTTTAAAAGGTTTGCCATTAATATTGATACTTGTTGTTTGTTTATTATTGTTGTTTATGTGTTCTGAATGCTTCTACAGCACTTAAGGATGAAGTTACAGGGTTTTTATATTTCATAACGGGGATTTTAAATGTGTCTCAATAGTGACAGTATACTTGGCTGATTTTCCAAGAGATTCACAGGAAAATCAAATGTAAGCAAAATGGTAATACAAATACATAGTGCAGGTTTATTTGAATACACATGATAATATACCCTCCCTCCACAAGGTGGTGCCATGCTTCATAGGAAAAACAATGTTGAGTACAGTATGTGCTCTGTGATTATTTTAAAGGGGCCCTGTTACGCTCACTTTCAGAGAAAAATCACAGGGATTTGATCCTAAACAGACCATTTAGTGTGTGTGTGTGTGTGTGTGTGTGTGTGTGTGTGTGTGTGTGTGTGTGTGTGTGTGTGTGTGTGTGTGTGTGTGTGTGTGTGTGTGTGTGTGTGTGTGTGTGTGTGTGTGTGTGTGTTCAAGGTTCCAGTTTCAAGATTCAAGGTTCTTTATTGTCAAACTAACATAGCTACAGAGTTATTATGTCATTGAAAATCTTAGGTCACAGGCTTCTCCAACAATGCAACACAATAATACAGATAAGTCGACAATATTAAAACAATATTAAAATATACCATATTAAAAGTGTGTGTGTGTGTGTGTGTGTGTGTGGTGTGTGTGTGTGTGTGTGTGTGTGTGTGTGTGTGTGTGTGTGTGTGTGTGTGTGTGTGTGTGTGTGTGTGTGTGTGTGTGTATGTGTGTGAGTGCCAGGGGTTTGTTATTGCATGTGGGTCACCATAGTAACAGTCACTGGAGGCAGATAGATGTACCAGAGCAGAAGAGAGAGGTAGCGAGGGGATGAAGGGACAATTATTGTGGGAGTTTCTGTCTGCACTGCAACATCGCCATCTCTGATTGGCTGTTTCTCCCGTCCTTCATCCTCTCTAATTATACCCTTCTACTTCCGTTTCACCTCCAACTCAGTGGCTGTAGAGCACACACACACACACACACACACACACACACACACACACACACACACACACACACACACACACCACACACACACACACAACACACACACACACACACACACACACACAACCACACTTTCTCATATCTCCGCCTCCAATGCCTCCATGTGGGTGGAGGGTGGAGCAGCTGAGCAGCAGAGAGAGTAGGAGAGGACAGTGAATGCATCACCGCTTGTTGTTCCTCTTTCATCGTGGAGGTCAGGGAAGAGATGGACAACAAGAGCAGGATGGAGAGATTGTCCAGGGATAAATGCTGTGACTGGTACTATAAGGAGGAGCAGAAAGGTGAAGTACATGTCGAACATATGAGAAATTAGAGACAGGGTTAAGTAGATTGGTGAATGGCAGTGGTGTAATGTAAGTACATTTACTCAAGTACTGGACTTTAGTGGAAAGTGTAGTTATTTGTACTTTACTTGAGTATTTTCACATAATATAAGCTACTTTATTATTTTACTTCATTACATTTTGTAGTCAAATGTTGTACTTTTTACTTCACTACATTTATTTTATATATTTAGTTATTAGTTAAATTGCAGATTTTAGGTGTTTAGGTTGTTAATACAAAATCTGCACTCATTATATTATAAGTTATGATACCCAGTAGTGTACAGTATAAAGTCGTTCAAATAAACCTCACCTTTACCAAGTGCAAAATTGATAATAATTATTAATAATTATAATAATAATTAATAATCTTTGGTGCTTAAAATGGCTATTTTTGCATAAAGAGTACTTTTACTTTTGGTACTTGAAGTATTTTTGTAATGCTTTTTTACTTTTACTTAAGTACAACTTTGAATGCAGTACTTTGAATGAGTATATTTACAGTGTAGTAATGCTTTGACTTAAATTCAACAACAATCTGAGTACTTCTGGTGAATGGTGGCATTTGATGTTATTTCTAGTACTTTGATTTCATTTGAATGCACAGTAGACTGGAGTGCAAGATGTCCGATAAAGTTAATTTGAAGACGGAAACAAATTAGATTAAAACATTTGATTATTTCAGGATTTTCCGGATCTTTAGCAACAAATAAAACACCATTTAGTAACAGTTTTGTGTATTCCTGCTTAACTTACACGGCAGCTCGTCTCTTCTTTTCTCTTCTTCTCATTAAGAGGAATCTTCCTGAAGCCTACTGACTTTGAATTTGCTCTGTTTTGACACATCAGCCCTCGAGCGCACACACATATCCCTACAGTCCACTAATGTGCCTGACTGAGACAGAGTAGATAGTTTTTGAACATTCAATAAACTCATTTGTGCTTTAATAAAACGACAATTAAATTGTTTTGCTCTGGTTGTAATACTAACAGGAGGACTCAGAAGCGTCACAGTATATTCAATAACTTTGTCAACGCATGTCATTGATTTCAGCTCTGAAGTCGATAAGAGCTCAGAGGCAAATCCTCTGCCCTGCTCTCTCATACATAACGTCAATGGTGATGGAGATGTTACATCCTGACCATGACCCCCTCCCTACCTCTGAAAGGATGACTATATATTTATTTTTTATGTAATGTGTTTGCATGCCATTGTCCATGCCCCCCACACCAGAAGAAATAACATGAAAGGTGATATCAACACAAACGTCCCACTTTCTTTACCCAGAAACAAAGCATGACTCAGCGTTTTCTCTCAGACTGAATGTAGCTCTGCATATTATCACTGGTGTAATTAAATGTAATTAAATAGGCTTTATTAGCAATACATTTTACAATCAGTGGCCATTTTAAAAAGGGGCAATGATTACATTTAACAGTTTATAATAAAATGTAAGTTTATATAATTCAATATATAATGAAAGAAGTAAATTCAATAAATAAAATATTTCAATGTTACTAAGACAAACGTGAAAAAATGCAGGCATTAATCGATAAAAAGAGAGGTTGGTAGGGATAATACAACATTTGACATTTTCTTTTTATAAGAAAAGAAAATCTACTGATAAGAGATTGTGATAAATATGGTAACTGTATTTATAAATATCTGTCTATATTTCCTTCTGGTTGTCTACTTTTTGGGGCAGGAAGTGACGCATACTGTATAGCCAACACTGCCATTTAAATTATATTTGTTCAACTATAATGAGGGTAGTAAGTTAAGTAAATTATATAAGAGATTTTTGGAAGAATTCCTCACTTATATTCCTGAAGTTTTGAGTGTTATTCTGACCATTTATCTCTCTAACTTTTTGTCTTTTCCACAGTACTATGTGCAGACAGAGTGGGCCAGATGACGAAGACTTACAATGACATCGATGCTGTCACACGTCTGTTGGAGGAGGTGAGACGGCCTGTTATTGCACAATTTATAAGTGTAATTCAAAGCTGCGCCGGGGATTTATAATAAGCCTAAACAACGGAGAGGTTTTGCACCGTAGTTTACCCAAATTGTATAACCAGTTGTAGATAACTGTGATCGAGTAATATGCAAAATACAGAAAGCAGTGAGTTAATTCTGCTCTAAAAGTACCAACATGGCTGACTCTCCAGCCCCACAGGACACTAACAAGAACAAATGTAGTTTCATAATGTTGTATTGCAGGACTTTGGGGTATTGGCGCTATAATAACGATGTATCTTTAACCAACAGAAAGAGAGAGACTTGGAGCTGGCTGCAAGAATCGGTCAATCGCTTCTTAAGAAAAACAGAACTCTGACCGAGCAGAATGACTATCTGGAGGAGCGAGTGGGACAAATCACAGAAGAGGTCTGCTCTCACACATACACACACACACACACACACTACTACTCACTTGTATTTATGAGTGTATGGTGGGTGGTGAGGCCCAAGTTTCAAAAAGCAATCACTGAAGTAAGGCACTTTTTTTGACCCACTCCCCAAAAAAAAAAATATTCAAGTGTACGCTATATTTTGAAAATGTTTCACACTGCATTCATTCAGCCCTTTTCGACCTGATTTCTGATCTGTTGCTGGTCTGTGTTGGTTTGTGTTATTGTGTGTCTTTGTTGTTTTTAAAGAGTGGTTTGTATCAACCAAATGTTCACTATTATACATTACATGTTATTATACACTATACATTATACTATTATACAAACTATTGAAACCATTGAGGCAGCGTAGATCAGTAAATACCTTGCAAGCCAAAATCACTTTTTTTGTCCAAAATATCTGTCGGCTTTGAAAAGAACATATTAATTTAACAGCTTCAGTTACTTGTCTAAAAGGGCTGGAAATATAGGACACACATGAACTGATATTGTTATTTTTTATTTTAGCCCCTTTTTTTTATTTGTTAAAATGTGTTTTTTGATTGCTGACTTCTATTTCACATCTGAATCTGAACTACTGTATCTCTTTAAGAAGAACAATGATTTTGATGTGAGATTACATATGAAATACAGTAAGATGAACCCACAGCACATGCATGCATGAATACAGAACATTAAAGTAAGATAGAGTTGGGAGGTGGGAATTAGTGGAGTACAAATACTTCATTACTGTACTTAAGTACATTTTTCTGGTATCAGTACTTTACTCCACGACTTTTTACTTCTACTTCTTACATTTTTAACACAAATACCTGTACTTTTACTTCTTACATTTTCCAAACAGGCTGGTTCCTTTAGTTTGAATGTGTGTTTGGTGGCGTGATCATTATTATTTAGAGTCATTGCGTGCCTATTGATTTGAACACGATCCGTGTATCCATCATTTCCTGGTCTTCTCTAAAGAAGAGCGACCAATGAAAACTTTGTCATTTTGCCGTTGTTCAGCATGGAAACATTCATTAGCTAGCAAAGACATTATTGTTCTATTAATATAAAGGGAGGTCAGGTACTCTTTAAAACAGCTGGTAGTTATGGGTACTTTTTACTTAAGTACATTTAGAAGCCCATACTTCTTTACTTTTACTTGAGTAAAGAAGTTTATTCAGTACTTCAACTTTTACCAGAGTATTTTTAAACACGAGTATCTGTACTTCTACCTGAGTAAAGGATGTGTTTACTTTTGCCATCTCTGGAGATATACTCGAGTGTTGAACATTATGGCTCCTCTCCAGGTGGCTCAGCTGCACCATGAGCTGAACCTGAAGGACGAGCTGCTGCAGTTTTACACCAACTCCGTCGAGGAGAGCGAGGACGAGTCCAGCAGCTCCCCAACGTTAGCACCCTTTCTTTTTTACTTTCTTTTATTCCTCCCATCTGTCAATACTAGCGATGTGAAAGCGTAAGTCTAATATTTACTCTTCTGTCCAAAGGGGTAAAAGAAGTAAAGTGGAAATCGCTCCGGGGGGCACGCTGCAGAGGAAACTCAAAGAACTGGAAGAGGAGAACCTCTCTCTGCGCTCAGAGGTATCTCCACACATCAACACAGTTTTAAGAAATATGGGATTTTAGAGAGTATCTAATATGTATTTGCACACAGGCAAACCATCTGAAATCGGAGACAGAAATATATGAAGAAAAGGAGCAGCAGCTTGTCAACGACTGTGTGAAAGAGCTCCGTGAGTGTTGACTCTTTATCTGACTTTTCTCTTTTTATCTGGATTATTCCTGTTCGTTTTTTTACAAATCGGGCTCTATCTTACATTTTTATACGATATAATGGAGCTAGATATTTTTAAAGTCACTTATATGAAGTTATTGATCATTTTACAGATTATGAAAATGTGTTTTTATGACAATCAACGCTTGAATCCTCATTTATCGTCCTATCTCTAGTGTCGAAACTTCAAAAAACTTCACTGGATGAAAATTAGCTCAAAGCTAAATCTGGCACTGTTACGCTTGACACATTGTAATGTCTTAAGTGTTCATTACTGTGCATTGTCCCTGCCAAATAAACGATTCAATAAATAAATAAATGATCTCGTGTTATGCCCTACAGGGATGTCCAGTCTCCAAATTAACACCATAGCGGAGGAGTTGGCTCGTAAGACTGAAGACGCTTCCCGCCAACAGGAAGATATCACACACCTGCTCTCTCAGCTAGTAGACCTGCAAAAGAAAACCAAAACTGTGAGTACTCTATCAAGATTTCATATAAAACCATGGAGGGGGATACACAAAACTCTAAGAGAGTAGCTAAATCCGTCAAAAAATATGGAAGCCATTAGTCAAAGCATACTGTATATGCAAAGGTTCATCATTAATGTATCTGATCATCGTGGTAGTCGCATATCATTTTTACGATGATTATACTGTATGATGTTTTTATGCACCTTATTCTACCTCATACCGGGAGGCGTAGTGGAGTAGTGCGTTGGTGTTCGGATCAGGTTCAAACCCCAGTGCAGTCAGCATGTCGTTGTGTCTCTGGGCAAGACACTTAACCCCAAATTGCTCCCGTGGGTATTGGCCACAGTATTGACTATGTAAGTCACTTAATAAAAGCGTCTAACAAGTGACATGTAATGTAATATCTAGTTTTGTAATTATCAACTGCACTGATAAATACATGTGCAATAACTTACTTATTGACTTGTTTGCATTTTTTACTGCCTTGACCATATTGTTCTTGTATGTGTATGGTAATGTTGTTGTTTTTTAAGCGTACTGTTGAATGTATCATAGGTCCAATTTATAGCCACTTTATATATTATATATTAAAAGTTTTAGCTTGTATTGTCAAAATCATACTTATACTGGTATGTGTGATTGCACCAACGGGAAAGCTTGAAATGTTGCTGTACTCTGTGTAGTGACAATAAAGGAATCTAATCTATTCTAATCTAATCTAATATGATGGCTATTTAGCTTATTTAAACCTGCCTGTGTGTTTCTAGTTTGCGGTGGAGAATGAGGAGCTTTCCCAACACCTGGTGGCAGCTAAAGATGCCCAAAGGCAGCTCACACTGGAGGTAACTTCCACAAAAATACAATTCCTCGCTTGCCAAGGTCAAACAACAGATAAGATAAGATAATTTGAACGTCTGCTGCTAACAGCTCCAGGAGTTGGATGAGAAGTACCTGGAGTGTATCGAGATGCTGCATGAAGCTCAGGAGGAGCTGAAGAACCTGAGGAACAGGAACTTCCCTGCAGGAACGCCTCGCCGCTGCCATCCTCTGGGACTCTACCCGATGGTGAGCGAGGGTGGGTGTGTGTGTGTGTGTGTGTTTGTGTGTGTGTGTGTGTGTGTGTGTGTGTGTGTGTGGTGTGCAGGTGTGTGTGTGTGTGTGTGTGTGTGTGTGTGTGTGTGTGTGTGTGTGTGTGTGTGTGTGTGTGTGTGTGTGTGTGTGTGTGTGTGTGTGTGTGTGTGTGCAGGTGTGTGTGTGTGTGCAGGTGTGTGTGTGTGCAGGTGTGTGTGTGTGCAGGTGTGTGCAGGTGTGTCCCATGATTGTTGTCCAATTGTTCACGTGGACTGTTTGTGTTTCAGGATTCTCTGGCAGCAGAGATCGAGGGAACGATGAGGAAGGAGTTGAGTATGGATGACCCCGAGTGCGAGGAACAGAAGTACGTATGGACTAATGCTGCATTCATGAGCTCCTCAGATGGTCCCATTTGTTATTTTATTTTATTCATCGTGAACTTGGTATGGACAACTGCAACATACATGTATAAACATAGGTAATTTGATCTGCTATCATCGTGTGTATAGCTAATGCTAGTTTGCAACAGCTGTCACTAACTAAAAGGAGTTTTATGAAGCAAGAAGATTTCAATAGTGACGTTTTACAGAATAGATTGCGATCCAATCACAAACACATTTTGAACATTACATTTAAAAGCCAGATCTGAGCACAGGTTCCTTGCTGAATTAACCAGGGTTTGGTAGCTCTCTTAAAAGTGGTGAAGAATTCAAGTGATCGGGTAGCCTTTTCCAGGATGTTTAACTTTTCAAAAATATGTTTTGGAGTATTAAAATTGCAATTTAAACAATCTGTGGGTAATCTGCTGCAGCTCTGTAACATCTGGATGTATTTTAGACAAAACAAGCTTTTCATAAATATAATTAGGAAGTCATGTGTGTTCATGAGCTTTAAGCTGTAATATGGAAACAACATGGACGCCTCAAAGAAGATATGTTGTATTACATTGCACAGTGTTTAAACAACATGTTGGTAGCTGTTAATATTGTTTATATTAGTGATTGTGTCTCACTCCTGTTGCTGCATCAGAATATTCCCTAAAACCACTCAAATATTGCCTAAACTCACTTGTTTTCGGGGTTAATGCTAATACAATGAATATCTAACTAATAAAAGTCTCTCTACATGGACAGAGACTTACAGTCACACAGCTTGATAATATAAAATCAAACATATGAGCACAAACTGTATATGCTTTACATGAGTTAATTAAACGTTTCTTGGCATTTGCAGAACATTTACCATTTTTGTTTTGCGTAATATGAGGTCCACTCAACTACCAAAGTGTTCACTGATTTCTTAGTTGTTGTACCGACTTCAAGGGGTTTTAATGTACATTTTCCCATTGGCGAAGTCATTTCTGGGGGTTATTTTCATATCACATGAATGCAGCATAAGAGTAAAAGCTTGCCACACATACACACACTAACCCTTCACTAAATGCATGCCACACTGGTTTCCTACCGGAGCATTTTCAGCTGTAGACTGAGACCACCGAAGACCACCACGGAGCCTCACAGGAGGTCTTTCCTCCCAGCTCTATAACAGTAGAGGGAACTGAGAACTTCCACACCAACACTATGTGTAATATAAATACCATTACCACCATTACAAAAACACTCTCTGCTATAACATGTGCAATATCATTATTATTAATAATGTTCTATAATAACGTGCAATTACGTATCTACCACTACGTTTTTTTGCACTACTAAATACTGTTAATATTTACATTAATTATGTGACCGTCTGTTGTTTCCTGTAGATATTTAATTGCTCTTTTTACTGCACTGTTAGGGTACAGTTTTATTATTATGCTGCTGTGTTTATTGTATCTTTGTAGCACAACAATTTACTTCTGGATCAATAAAGTCTTATCTTATCTTAATGCCCCCAGTATTGGCTAATTCTCCACACATCATGTTTTTTATATATTTGTATCTGAGACCCATAACATATGCCTAAGAATAGCATGGTAGGAGACCTTTAATGTACATTTTCCCATTGGAAATATATCACATGAATGCAGCATAAGAGTAAAAGCTTGCACACATTCAAACGCTTCACTAAATGCACCCAGTATTGGCTAATTCTCGTGTGTTGGGTTGTGCTCAGAGTCCACCGGAGGCGTGTGTTTGAGACGGTGAAGAACGTGAACCAGACGGTCCGTCAGCGCTCTCTGACTCCGACCAGCAACATCCCGGGGTCCAACCAGTCTCTGTCGGCCCGCACGTCTCCACAGTCCAGCGGCCTCTCCACGCCGTACAGCAGCATGTACGGAGGAGACGTCAGCGGAGACAGCGTCACCCTCGATAACCGAACGCAGAGCATCCTGATGGAGAAGGCAGCCAATCAGGACAGGTGAGGGGGAGCAGGGCTCATGCAGTTCATAAATTAGAGATGAAATTGATTTTGAGGACATTTAGACATCGGCATCAACAAAATGGGGAGTTGTTCATTTATGTAATGCATAAGAGGCAAGAGGGAATGTTTTATTTACTATGTCTGACCTTGTTTGTTTACTGTTCTGTGTTTTAGAAAAGGAATTTAGAAAAAGCGGCCGATGTTGGTTTTCAGTTCTTTAAGATTATTTTTATATCTGGACAACAAATGAACTTTTCTTTTTTTGCCAGGTTAAAAAACAAGACTTGCAATCACATTTTTCTAGGTTTATTTTTGTTGTTGTTGTAAATATAGTTGAAAAAAACTTTTCTTTCTTTGTAATACTAATTTCAAGCCACAAGCGTCTGAGTGCATTTGAATTCAAAAGACAAGATGAATGCATTTTGTCCAATTCAAAACATGGGTTAGTAGTGCAAATGAGTTACAACAAGAACAACACTTTTAAAAATGGTCGTCACTCACCAAAAATATTCACCTGTTTCCCTGACTTTCCTCTCAAGGATCCTTAAGATGGGGATTGAGGATTATTCAAATGTTGGTTCACTCAGACAACTCACTTACTGTATAGCCTATATGCATCCCACGTATAGCAGGATGTGTTTGGTTGGTTGTATGAGAGTTATATCTACGTGTGTATGCATATTTTGTGCCCGAGTTGAATGCATGAACTAGCTCGCAGGCTCTGCTCTATTTGTGGAAAACTAGATGTGCCTCAACAGAATGACACATGAAATGTATCCTCATTAATTGATTAGATTAGATTACTTTATTGTCATTACATAATGCAAGCAGAGTGTAACGTAATTAGGAGGGTCTAACCAGAGTGCAAACAGTCAGTTACTTCCATCAGCAGTCTGTACAAAATAAATGATACAAATAAAGGTAAATACATGTAAAATGTATAAATAAGAATAAATACACTGAGCGTAAATACAGTATAAGGATCAATGCGCTTCAGCACAGCACACAACAACACTAGGCAGTGTGGGACAGCGTGGAGTTCATTGACAGCAGTCTGACTGCTGAAGGGAAGAAGCTGTGCGTGGCCCTGTTGGTTCTACCCGGGAGGCTGCGGTAGCGTGTCCCAGAGCGAGTGCCACGTACAGTAGGGGGATAAACAATGCATGGTTGGGCTGGGAAGAGTCTCTAATGATGTAATTGAGTAACATTGGTTTCTGTTTCTCTCTGGCAGCAGCTCAGAGGGTCGAGAGAAGAAGGCAGCCGGAGCGGAGGACCTTCGTCTCGCCCTGCGCCGCCTTTCTCTGCGTCGACAAAACAACCTGAGCGAGAGGCGCTTCTTTGAAGAGGAGAGGGTTCGGAAACGAGGAGGAAACGAAGGTCTACACGACGCCATGGGCCAGGAGAGTGGGATGACCCCCTCGGAAAGCATCATGTCCCTCGGGAACCTCCACCTTTGGGCCTCTCGGGGGCCCTACCTCCCCGACAAACTCCAGATCGTCAAACCGCTCGAAGGTGAGGGAGAGAGGGAGAATCAGCCGAGCTGCAAGGCGGGGAGGAAGCGGGAAGGAGACAAACAGAAAGTGATCGGGACAAAGAAAGGCAGCAAGAGAAGTTTGGGGACGGAGGGGGAGAGGGAGAGGGAGAGAGGTTGGGGGTGGGTCAGGAAGACCAGAGCTGGGATAGAGAGGGACAGAGGGAGGAGGTGGGCTAAAGACCGAGCCGGCAGCAGGAAAGGGAAGGCAGCGAAGGAGAGGCCTCTGCCGCTCATGCTCTTCAACTCTTTCTGGTCTCTGATGCACCGTCACAAGTCCGGCAGCTTCGCGTCTCCACACAGTTACTACAAAGACACGCAGCCCAGGGGATGGCTGTAGACACACACACACACACACACACACACACACACACACACACACACACACACACACACACACACACACACACACACACACACACACACACACACACACACACACACACACACATACACATACACACACACACACACACACACACATACACATACACATACATACATATACACACACATACACATACACATACACACACACACACACACACATACATACACATACACATACATACATATACACAATCATTGGAGGAATATAACTAAGTACATTTACTCACGTCTTGAACTGAAGTACTATTTCACATACTTGTACTTTACTGGGTATTGCCATTTTAAGCTGCTTTATACTTCTATTTCACTACATTCTAGAGACAAATACAGTATTTTTCATTACATTTGTTCAACACTTATAGGTACTATTTATTTGTCCACGTATAAACAGACATTACATTACATTACATTACATTACATTGGATTTAGCTGACGCTTTTATCCAAAGCGACTTACAATAAGTACATTCGACATAATATGCTTTATGATATGAAGCAGTTTTTAAACTACTAATCTACCCATTATTAAAAAAAAAATGTTTATTGGCTCCACATTGAACAATTACAACATTAAAAGTATTTCGCTTCTATGAATTTGGGCCCCTGCCCCTCTAACATCCTCTGCACGTGCAATTGGGTATAAGTCAATATGTTTTTATGTTTAACCCTTCGGTTCGATCACATGTAAATATTTGGGAAAATGTATTGAAAACTATTTTCCACATTGCATCCATATTTCACCCTTCTTTTACCCATGTTACACTATAATTACACTGTTATTACACTGTTATTACACCCATGTTACACTGTTATTAGACCTAAATTACATTTGTATTTGACCCATATTGCACCCATGTAACACCAGTATTACATTGCACACGTAGCCTATGAAATGACTGTATCCCCCCAGGATACTATAACAATTTAAGGGTTTTAAACTGACTTTAGTATTAAGGTACACTTTTTGCTTCATGCTGTAGAGTGCCATATGTAACATCATTGAAAAGCCCAAAGTGTAACGCTCAAGTTTAAATCCAGAGTCACAGCAGCGTTTTATTATCCCGTGTGATTCAGTCTGTTTGCCTTTGCTGCCCTCTGCTGGTAATAATTCAAACTTAATTTTATAAGCATACTCTCTACTGTTAACCGAGCAAACAATCCATCATACATGTATTTCAACTTTGTCGTTTGCTTTTGTTTACATCCATTTGTTATTTGTGTTCACATCATCCCATTTATTCTTTATGTATTTCTCTTTCTTTGTGTTTCTTTTCCATTTAATATTTATTTACAACTTCCTTTGCTCATTCTGTCACTGCTTCCTCTCTCTGTTTCAAATTCACATAGCTGACCAATAAAAACCTTCTCTCATCTCATTTCTCCTCCATTTCATTTACATTGTATTCCTCTCCTCTTCATCATATTTTAGTTTTCTTACCATCTTTGTTTGTCATCCTGATCGATAACAGTTGTCTTCATTGATACGCTTATTAGAAAAAGGTAACGTTGTTAATAGCATAAAATGTGTACCTTTATTAGATATGTGTCATGAATATAATACACAGTCTCTCTCAAAAAGCCCTTATCCTAGTGCTTATTGTGGTCATGTTTGCGATATCTACTTTATAACAGCAGAATAGTTATCAATGTGTCCTTGCACCAATATCACAAAACACATTTTATTTGCATATTGACTGGTTAATGTGCCATTTCATTTGTGTTTTACGACGGCTGTATTCGTCTGCCTGTGTTGTTTTGTGTTTATCTGTTGTAACTTTGGTCATGTTTTCCTCTTGTTCAGGTCGCTCTTGAAAAAGAGAGTTTAATCTCAATGAGACTTTTACCTGGTTAAATAAAGGATATACATATATATTTTTCACACACTCATTATATATATACTTAATCCTATAGGCCGCAGTAAGGTATTGTGACTTTTCATTATATCAATAGTATTATATGACTGACGGTAAAATAATTGCACATCAAGTATTAAAGGGGCCCTATTATGTGTGTGTGTGTGTGTGTGTGTGTGTGTGTGTGTGTGTGTGTGTGTGTGTGTGTGTGTGTGTGTGTGTGTGTGTGTGTGTGTGTGTGTGTGTGTGTGTGTGTGTGAAGACATTGCGAACATACAGCTGTGTTTGTGTCTCTCCAGGCTCGGCCACGCTGCACCACTGGCAGCAGTTAGCGCAGCCTCACCTCGGGGTGATCCTGGACGCCCGGCCGGGGGTCGTGCCGAAGGGATACAGACCCCTGGAGCTGGAGCTTGAGCAGGTGTGTGTGTGTGTGTGTGTGTGTGTGTGTGTGTGTGTGTGTGTGTGTGTGTGTGTGTGTGTGTGTGTGTGTGTGTGTGTGTGTGTGTGTGTATCATATACAGTATTCATGACTTAATATCTTGCATGCATGCCTCTGTATTGATTTCCTCTCTGTACCCTGCTGTGCATCTACAGGTTTATCCGTGGGGAGGCTTTGAGGAGGAAGAGCCAGGAGAGCAGTACTTCCAGAATCTTCCCACCTCCTCCGCCTCTGCCTCGCCCGCCGTACCCCCCACCTCCACCTCCATCACCGCGGTCACCAGCATCGGGCAGCCTCCCACCCCCATCCTCACTCCACCTTCACCCCCATCACCGTCTCCACATCTCAGCAACTTAGATGCCTTGGGTGAGGACATACTGGATATTTATCACATGCAATAACATGGGGTTTAAGATGGGTCTTTTTCTTTTTGAAGGCTTTGTTGTTAATGCAAAGTACCCACAGGGTTGTTAATGGTGAGGAAAATCCTAAATCCCAGACTACCAGCAACTCAATATAAACATATATAAGACATAAAACATTAAAACAAATTAAAAAAACAATATCAATTGTGCAAGAAGAAACAGAGTAGAAATAAAACAGTAAAAGACCAATGTGCAAGTAATGTAGGAGAACATGAACTATATACATATATATACATGTAAAGATATATATATTTATAGAAGTTTGTACAACAGTGTTTTTCAACCTTTTTTGAGCCGCAGTAAATTTTCTACATGAAAATCCCACGGCACTGCAAAAACCAAATGAGTTACTAAATGACCCATCGTAGCATAATGCAGCATTTATATATTGATTATTTAATGACAAGTCTCTCAATTTGGCTACGAGTTCAGCTCCTAAGTAGCTAGATTTTAAAGCTCTGTCTTTGTGTTTTTTCAGTAACAGTAACCTGAACGCAGGCGAACCAAATAGTCCGTGTTCTTGTTTTGAAGTGACGGGTGTTTCATTTGGAGATGACGTTTAAGCTAGCTTGGCACTGTGACACTGTTGGATTTTATTTGCAGCATCTAAATAATTGTATTTTTTGACCAATTAAGTCAATTTGGACAGTTTCCCACGGCACACAGTGGTTGAAAATCACTTTTAGAAGAGACTAAGTAAATGCAGGAGTCTACATGTAAATAGAATAAGATGAACAAGAACAGAATGTAAAATGAAATACTGTACAGTGAATTTAAAATACTACTGTCTGTGTCTGTGTGATTTGCAGCTGCATACTACCCAGGTAAATGCATGGCCCACACCAGCTCCACCTACACCTTCACTACCTGTCGGATCCTCCACCCGACGGATGAGCTGACCCGGGTCACACCCAGGTAAGAAACAGAAGTAATGCTGCTTTAAAATGCACGATAAAAGCTAACCTTTTGTAGCACTTCCCCTTCTTAAAGTTTCTCTTAGATCTGCCAGTTTTCCTTCTTTACTGTGAAGTAAGCTATACCGCTAAAAGCAACTATTCACAAACATAAGCATTATTGCAGAAGTCCTAATCAAATAATGTGTTTTATAAGAGCTGTCAAGTATTTGCCTAGAATGCAAACTCTCCTCTGTTTTGAGCTTTTAAAAAGCAACCAAAATGTGTTTTATATTACATTTCATATATAGTAATAAACAGTTTAATTATATAATGCATCTTATGTGTAAATGTTCCTCAGAGCGCTAAGTGTGGACTCAGTCTGAATTGGACTTTATCCAACAGGACAAATAAATATCTGAACCACAGTCACTTAGATAGGATCGTAAAAAAGTAACACTATTCACTTCCTCAATACAGTAAGGTGCTAAATAATACATGCAGGTGCTTGTGGTTCAAGAAAGGTCTCATGAACTTCCCCACTCAATCTATCAAGACCCGAGCAGTTCTACCAGAAGTCCACGGTAAAGGCACAGGCCGGCGCATACCGCCAATGGAATCCCTCACCATATGAACTCTGACCCCAAGAGTGTAAAAGTGAAGAGGCACAATGAGACTACGTAAATGCACTCTCGTAAAAAAAGTGGGAAACGGTGAAAAAGAAGTGAGAACCAGGAATATGCACTAAACAGTGCTATCCCTGTAGACTAGGGTAACCATATTTAAATAATTAATTAAGTTTGATCTAATTTAAATTCTGATTTTAATCCTGATCTTGATTTTTCATTAAATTGTAATATTTTTCAAATTCATTAATTATTGATTTCATTATTGAAGAAACAACATCCCAAATGTGGGGGTACAATGATGAGATATAATAAAGGTGGAACTTCTATTGCTCAAATCAGCAAGAAGTATCCTTTCTTAATGTTTCTAAATCTCTTTGTTTGCTTTACTTCCAGTCTGAACCCTGTTCCCTCGTCGTCCTCCTGTGTGATGACCAGCTCTCTGTTGGGGACCCCTGCTGTGACGCCCTGCACCCCCCGCAGGCTCAGCCTCATGCCGTCCGAATCATCCACCAACCTCAGGCACGGTTTAAAAACAACAGAAAATAACTTCATTTTTTAGCTGTTTTCTTAAAATATATGTTTTCTTGTTGCTACTGTAAAAAACAAAACTGTATTTGCTTTGTTCATGATGGATTGTAAATTCAAGAAACTTAAAGTACATTTTTAAAATCACTTTACTGCATATCACAATTAGTTTTGTCTTAGTTTCCAAGACAAGACTTGTTTTGTAAAAAAAACTGCACTAATGTATAAATAACTAATCAAAATGTATTTTCTCTGAACCGTTTAATTAGTTTTACCCTGTATATGATGAAGTCTCTGAGTACCTTTTTTAAATGTACAAACTTTAGTAAATAAAATGTATTATTTCTATGCATTCCTAGGATCAACATACCTTTTTTTATTTAACTTTTTTCTCAATAATTCAGCACCTAACAGTCAGTAATATTAACTCTCATTTGTCTGTGCAGAGATGCGACGCGCACCACCAGCACCTCCCTGGGGCTGGTGCGTCTCCTGCAGGAGCGAGGGATCTCAGCAGCCATGTATCACCAGAGCCAGAGCCTGGAGTACGGCCAGGGCAACGGGGAGGTCCTATTCAGCACCTCCATCACCCCTAACAGAGCCCCCAACCCCGACCCCCCTGCGCCCCTCCACGCTTCCAAACTCCCCCACGGGACCGGGTGCTTCAGCCGTGCCTACGTCCGCTGGCTTCGACTTCAAAAGCCCTTCCTACGACAACTTCCTCACCTCCAGACCGGCCCGCTCCATCCTGAAGGAGGTGACGGGGAGGATGAGGGGCCGGCAGAGAGGGAGGGACTGCGAGAGCCAGACGGACGTTAGCGTGACCGCACACAACCTCAACCTGCTGGACAAAGTGAAGAGGTTGGGTGTGGCCGGAGCTCCAGGGGGGAGAACCATGAGTCCTGGGCCCATCCTGGGGCCTCTGGGCGGGCTGCGGCGGTCCGGCTCCCCCTTTGGACCCGATGGGATGAGGAGGAATCCAGCCATGGTGGGGGCCGGCATGGCTATGAAAGGCCCAGGACCTCAGGAGTAGTCTGGACTGCTGCTGGGCTTTAGGGTGGCTGGAAACTGATTGAAAATGACTGACACTGTTCATATTGTTCGGCAACAAAAACAGTTTTGAATCACTTCTGGTTCCACACTGACACTTTCCACTCTTAAAATGCTTTAAGGTGGTGGCCCATGCTTTAATTAAAAGCAAAAAACCAAAATTCCCCAAACAATATTATTGCAAAAAAAAAATAGTTTTATCCCAGAAACGACTCAGATATCTGTACATTTGGACACAGATATATACAATGTGGGCATATAAATTAATTTTATGAAGCTAAATGTTATGTAATTGGGTGAAATGACCCTTCAAAATCTGATTTTTATTGAAATATCTCCAAATGCTTTCAGCTCACATCCCTGCTTTGGATACTGACTCTGCTGGCTAGATGTAGTACTCCCACTCTCGCCTTTTTTCTGAAACACATCCACAAAGTCCTACACATGAACACACACACACAAACACACACACACACACACACACATACTGAGGTGCACTCTGTTAAATGTGCCATCACACTAGTTGGCTCGTTGTCATCTCTGTAGCACTAAACCATGCCTTTCTTGTTCTCTACTGTTGGATTGAGATCAATAATTTATAAATGATTCAAAACTTTACACCAACACTCATGAAAATATGTCACATGTACCCTTATTATTTCCAGTGGTGGGCTGTATCTAAGAACATTTACTCAACTACTGTAATTAAGTACTAATTTGAGGTACCTTGACTTTACTTGAATTTTTTTTTTTTTGCCACCGATATCTTATGACTCGTCACTTTACTTTTAAGTTAAGAATTGTACGTACGGAACATATGAAGAACAAAATATTGAACAACATATCGTATTGCCTGAAACAATTAGTGGGTTGACAAAAAAACAACTGGCTAATTCAGATCAGTCATTTTATGCTTAAATACATTTAATGGTTCTGGCTTCGCAAATTTGAAGAGTTGCTGCTTTTCCTTTTAATTATTTTTTATTTATTATTACACTTTTACATTTTCCTGCTTTTATTTAAAGAGGTCCTATTATGCTTTTTGGGGATTTCCCTTTCCTGTAGTGCAGGGGTGTCAAACTCAAGGCCCGGGGGCCAAATCCGGCCCTCGACTTAATTTCATGTGGCCCGCAAGAGCTTGCAAAGAATATAATATGTTTATTACACGGTTGAATGCCGCTTCACAGAAGCACGTTGCACATAAACTACATGTCCCACAATGCATCTCATTCTATGACTGCACACTGGAGACTTGCAATTATTTGCTCTAGACTTCTGATATATATATTTATTTATATTTATATATATATATAGTCTTAAAGTTTTGCACTGGCTTTTAGTTGAACATAACATTTTGATATTTGTATGTGTTTCTATATGTTTCTAGTTATTGTGCTTTTTATCTTGTTTGTAATTATCGTTTTATTATTTTACTCCAATTGTGTTATTTTATATTTGTTCCCTGTACAGCACTTTGGTCAACTGAGGTGGTTTTAAATGTGCAATATAAATAAATATAGATTGAGATTGAAAGTTACAACCGGCCCTTTGAGTGCAACCATAATGCTAATATGGCCCGCGATTAAATTGAGTTTGACACCCCTGCTGTAGTGTGTTATATAGGTTTTTGTGCATGTAAATGGTCTGCAAAGGCTCAAATCCCTGCGTTCCCTCCAGAGGAACCCCACCCCCCGCCTGAAACACCTCCATGGGACTCCTCAATTTACTTCTGGGAGATAGTGACATCACTATGTAACACTTGCACTCCTATTGGCTAGCGCTCCAACACATTGTATGTGATAGGTTAGGGGCTTGGGACATCTCTAAGCGGTTGACCAATCACAACAGAGCCAACCAGCTAACCAATCAGAGCAGACTGGGCTCTGGTTTCAGACAGAGGGTGGAAAGAGGTCAATCAATCAATCAATGTTTATTTATATAGCCCAATATCACAAATGTTACATTTGTCTCAGTGGACTTCACAGTTTGTACAGAATATCAGTATGACAATACGACACCCTCTGTCCTTAGACTCTCACATCGTACAAGGAAAAACTTCCGGAGAAAATCCACAGAGGTGTGAGAATGAGAAAAATAAAGACCTTTTTGAACATTTAAGCATGGAAACATGTCACAGTAGAGACACAAAATACAAATATGAACATGAAAATGAGCAGAATAGGACCCCTTTAAATACTTAAGTACCATCTTTAAGTGTAGTATTGGTACCCTTACTTGAGTGAAGGATCTGGATACTTTTTGCCACCACTGGCTCTATTCCCTCTCCTCCTAAATCCCTTCTGAAGTGATTAAGCGTCAGTCTGACAAGTCACTTTCAACCAATCATTAAATAGATGATATGTCAGTATAAAGATACTTTGCTTTAGTTTCCTAATTGGCCATTAGACAGGGGAAGTTGATGGAGCTTCCACTGAAGGGGACGGGTCGATACGTGAAGCCGCAGATCTCAAAGAGGACAGAAAGAGAGGGACGACGGAAGTGGCCAATCAGACGTCTGGGTGAAAAGCTTTCGGACAAATTAAGCAATATAGTGCCTCGACCATCTGTTTTTGATAATTGATGTTCCTCATGAGGGTTGAAAGAGCTGTCACAGCCATTGTGTTTATTTATTTAAAAATATCCTATGAATATAACCTATTTTTCTTTTTTTTAAAAGTGTTTTCTCACGTGTGCTCACTGTAAATACTGTTCATTGTCACTAAACTGTCGGTACTGACACACTCATAAAGATATGTGTAGTGCATAAACATGAACCACACATCACTGTAAGTAATGCGGTGTACATGTAATGAGGCTTTTTTTTTCCAAATACAAATACAGTTATCAAATTTAACTTAATAGCATGATTCTGTGTTTTTTACCCTCCACATGTTATTGTGACTCATTCAAGACACGACAGTCCCAGACAGGAAGTCCTTATTTAGCCTCATCCAGCAGATGGTGCTCATGAATAACTCAATAAACAGAAAGACAAACATTTTGTGAAATATATGTTGAGTTTTTCCGTCTGTCCACATTGGCGCAGTCATAATCCATTACTCTTTCACCAGCTGTATCTCTTGTGCTATGAGGGATAGGATGACGGCTGCTTATTAAACCTCTATTTGTTACAGGGTGAACGAGAGGTGAGCAATAATGAAAAAATGCCACTTGAGGCCGCTGGGGAGTCCAATTAGAAGAAATTAGCTCTGTTTGTGAATGCCACAGACGTCTTGTACCGTGGATATTTGTCCTCTTAGCTTAACATTTTGCTAATCTTATTTATCACAAGATCAAATCAACATCCACCCTCAGGTACAAATCAAATCCTCTTCTGGGCACAGATGGTCAGACTGTAAGGCGGTGTGTGATGTACCCTCAGAGCCCTGTCTGATATTAATTACCCTTACGAATACTATCTTTAATGCCCAAATTCTAGGCATTCGGCCAGGCTAAAAAATAAACCTTGCATAGTCTGTTACAGGCCACATTTTGTCCTGTCACAAATGTTGATCTCATGTTAAACCGGAACATTTGCGGATTAATTGCATACCAGATATTTAATCATTTACTAAAGTAAGACCAGATGCAACATGTTTGTTTGTCTCCATCTTGACAGTAAGGAAGCCGAGAACAGAAAGCACTTTTAAGACCCCTTGATTAACAAATCGCACAACATAAATGTGTCATTCTATCTAGGGGTTCATTTTCCTTTTGGGCAAAGCTTTTTCTTGACGGTTTCAGCAACTTCCTAAAGTCTTGTTGTCACTGTGAGTTTGCCAGGCATCCAAAACATAAACTACCAAGACATAGTCCAGCGCAAAATTATTTTTTAGCCACCATTTAACCAAATAAGTTAATTGTAAATTAGGGGTGGCAGTAGCTCAATCTGTAAGGAATTGGCTTGGGAACCGAAGGGCCGCCGGTTTAATAACAACTGAATTTCAAATGAATAAATTAAGGGTCTTGTTCTCCTTCTAGGGTATACAGGTGCTGATTTGGATAGCTGTTCCCCCCTGTTTTCAGTCTTTGTGTCTAAGCTAACCGGTTGCTGGTTGCTATTTGTCACACAGAATGGAATATAAGTGTACTCAAAATGTTGAAAACTGTCTCTTAAATGTGCAGTTTCCTACATTATAAGCTTTGAAACTTTTGCTGCTATGTTATCAAATCAAATCAAATCAAGTTTTATTTATATAGCACATTTATAAACGATTTTTGGTCGAGCCAAAGTGCTGTACATATAATAAAAATAGCCTACAGTAGAGACACTTTACAGCAAATACAATAGCACAGATTGTTCAGAATATCAGTATGAGAAAAAACGACACCCTCTATCCTTAGACCCTCACATCGTACAAGGAAAAACTTCCAGAGAAAACCCACAGTTTAAGGGGAAAAAATGGGAGAAACCTCAGGGAGAGCGACAGAGGAGGGATCCCTCTCCCAGGACGGACAGACGTGCAATAGATGCCGTGTGTAAATCGAGATAATACATTTTACAGCATAGGTAGTCCAAATGTTAGGAAATGCATGTGTCTGTAAGGCAAGTTTATTTATATAGCACCTTTCAACACAAGGCAATTCAAAGTGCTTTACAAAAAACGAAAGACATTAAGAAAATGTAATAAGAAGATGAATCTACGAAGATGTCAACTACAATCCTGTGGGAGCCTTCAGGGAGGCAGCAAGACGAGACCCAGGCAGGACCGCAGAGACAGGTTCAGCCACGACCCGAAGTCCACGACTTAATCCAGAACTCAGGATAGAGGATCCAGGACCACAGCAAGAAGATCAGCCTCGACTCCGGATCCCGGCGTAGATATAGACACAAAACAAGAAAAAATGTGGCTAGGTTAATCGGAACAAGAGAATACACAGACACAGACAGACAGACGGAAGAACAAGCACTCCCTTAGAATAGGTTGAGGGCAAAGGGTAGCAAGTAAGAGAGTAAGAAACATAGGTGGAGAGGCACACTCAGGGAACAAGGTCCCCACTGGAGCCTTAGTTGGAAATTGATGAGAGATAGGGAGGTACGCTGTGTCTACGAATCGTAACACTCTCCGGCCTGTCTAAGCCACTCTGCAAACCGTTTCCCTCTAATAAAACCTCGAGAGGTTAGAAAGGGAAAAGGTCTTGGATCAAAGTTATTCTTGATAAGAGAAGCCTAGAAGGCCAGAGAGAAAAAGTGAGTTTTAAGTGTTGATTTTAAAACCCCCAGGGTCTGGGCCGACCTCACATGGAGGGGCAAAATGTTCCAGAGCCTGGGGCCCGCTGCTGCGAATGCTCGGTACCCTCGGATTTTGAGCCTGGTCTTAGGCACTATCAACAGCAGCTGATCAGCCGACCTTAAGGCTCTGCCTGGGGTGTAGCGATGGAGGAGTTCGGCTACATAGGCCGGAACCAGCCCATTTAGGGCTTTGAAAACAAATAAAAGGATTTTAAAATCTATTCTGAACCGAACTGGAAGCCAGTGCAGTGAGGCCAGAATTGGGGTGATGTGGTCACGCTTTTTCAGTCAGAAGACGTGCAGCTGCATTCTGAACTAGCTGGAGGCGTCTAATTGAGGCCTGGTCCATACCCACAAACAGAGCATTGCAGTAATCCAGTCTCGAGGTAACAAAGGCGTTAATAACCCTTTCTAGGTCTTTAAAAGATCAAAACGACTTGGTCTTAGCCAATAGTCGTATTTTAAAAATGTTATGTGTTGATGGATGCAAGAAGAAACGATATTATTTGAGCAGAGTCCAGAGCATCAAACACAGAAACTGTGCTGCTTGTTCAGATGCCAGTGAACTGCCTTTGAATTGACTGAAGCTTATCTGAAGTTAAAGAATGGAAAGTTGGAGACAAACAGTATTCAGAAAGAAAACAGTACATCGAGCCAGTTTCATAGACGATCCAGGAAGAGCTCGGACCATCTGCTCGTCACCGTTGCTGGATCTTTACAGACACACTCTTGGAGCTTATGTTCCTTTCATGAGTGTGTGGCTTTTTCCATTAGCACACATCACCGGAGCACTTGCATACATGTTTGAGTGTTCAAATCACTCCACGCTTTAGGCTGCACATGCATTCACCTTTGGACCTTTTTTTTCACTGGCACACCTATCCACATCCTCACATCTGCTGGCACACACACACACACACACACACACACACACACACACACACACACACACACACACACACACACACACACACACACACACACACACACACACACACACACACACACACACACACACACACACACACACACACACGCACGCACACACACAGCCGAGAGAGCCCGAGACATTTACTGGCAGTCCCTCTGAAGCCTTTAAACCTTTCCAGAGCCTTTGACTCTCAAGTCAAAGTCAGATCTTTAAAAGTTTGAGTCAATTCCCACGGCCCTCTAAGAATATCAATTTTCCTATTCAAGTGCACCTTCAGCAAAGGGCCATCTTCAATGCTCATCACACACAAACAAACAT